ATATATATATATATATATATATATATATATATATATATATATACTAATATAATTAGTGGAAATGTAGCTTTCAACACTGAAAAAACGAAAGTGTGTATGGATTTGAAGATGGGAAAGCGATGAGTGGATTAAATGGAAACACTTCAGACAGAATAATCTCTATTAAAGTAAACTATTAACCCATTATTAATACAAGTTGATTGTAAGTGTTGAGAAACATAAGATTTTCTTATAATAGCATTTTATAATAAAACGTGTTTTTCAGTTTTTATTTTGGACAGTAAAGCCTAGCCCCTGTGTACTAATGAAAACAAAAAATTCACAACTTGCACTATGTACATGATAATGATAATATGTGATAGCACAATGCTAAATTTATGTGCTGCTAATACTAAATTCATTATTGACACTGAAAATGGTATTAATATTTTCCCGTTTACACATGTTCGTTCATTTAGAATGATATTAATTACCCCAATATGTTGGAAATTAAAATACAAGAACACAAATGGAATACCAAAGGTCAATGTCTTTCTTGGAAAATGAGGAACAATAAAGATTTTCCTGTACTTTGTCGCGAGCCTTTGTCGTTCCCTTTCTCTAGAAAGGATCAATAACATTCCATGCATCATATCGAAATGGAACCCTCCTACTCTTATTCAAAATCAGGAAAAAGGCACTCATAGTAATCAATTGGTATTTCCTCACTCCTTCATCCCTTTTTCATTTAGTGAGGAATTCGATGTGCACGGCATTTTTAGGCCATTGCTTGATCGTCAACATTCGTGCTACAATGCGGTTGCAGTATCCGTGTTCTAGTGACAGTATTAAAATCAGCATCTGAACCACTGGCTATATTTTTGCTGACTGATGCTGAAGACAGCGCGGGCTTACTTGTATCAGACGACTTCCACTGTGGCAGAACCACTCCAGGGGATGAGGGGCGGAGTTTGCTATTGCTTCCTAACTTAGATTTCACAACTGACGTGCGACGACTCATATTCGGGGGTGCAAAGGCTTGTAATTTAGCGGATTTCACTTGAGGGAGGGACGCTTTTCGACAAGGTTCAGAATTAGGGCTTGTCGCATGCTGCCCTATGGCAGAAGTAGGTGAGACGCCCATAGGCCAAGTAATGTGAAGAAGGCCTCCTTGCATAGCAGCTGAACTATCCTTCTTCTGTAATGGCGATACGCGTGAATCAGAGCCAACCTTCAGAGATTCATCGATGAGGGAGTCCATCTTGGTAGTATTAGTATAGTGTGGAATGGTCCTGCGCCGGGCTTGATTGCAATGAGCCAGGAAATCCTGCGTAACCTTACCATCGCCACTTGAGCACGACGCACGCGAAATCGTCGACTCTGGGGAGATGGGAGGATCGGCCTCTTTAATGGACGCCCCGCTGGAGGTGGGCTCGGAGTCTACCTTTAGATGATCATAAGGAAGCACTGGCAAGGATACATCAGTAGTAGCGTGAATACCGGAAGATGCCTCATCGATACAAAACCCTTTCGGTAATAGCACTTTGTCATGCTTACCTACGCTATCTGTGCACACGTTACTTGCGGTCGGCAGTATAGTTGAACGTTCACGTGTTTTCTTCTTTATTCGTTTAGCCTTACCTGGTGAAAAGGTAACAGGCTCTAGACGTACCCGTTCCAAACCCTTGTTGGGATGTTTATTTATTTTTTCTCGACTTGAACCACTAGAAATGCGTTTGCTTGTACTAGTACTGTGATCGCACATAGTGTCAGGCAAGTGGTTGTTACTGCTGTTGCTAACCTGGCGATTGCGCATAGAAGACTGCAATCCTGGAACAGTAGACACTTGGTAAACCTCATGAACATGAGAGATCACAGGAGTTTGGGGAACATTAGCTGCTTTCTGTGAGGCTGGGCTCAATGGTGGATCTGGTTCTCTGATAGTGGGTAAAACCCTCACATTGAATTCATGGTGCGCAAGAATGGGGGCTTCACAAGAAATGCCTACAATGCCATCTTCAGATGTAGCATTATTCCCTATTTGGTGTGTGTGTTTTTCAGTGTGGAGTTTCTGGTCGCCTAATGGAACAGAACCTTCCAATATGAGTCGCGACACTGCTGGCGGTCCATTTTGTGGGATGATAAGAGTCATATCCTGGACTTGGGGTTGTTCATTGTGGCAATTCTCCATGGGAGAAGATAGGCGATCAGATTTTGAATTAAAATTAACTCTACTGCATTGGCGATCCTCTGCATCCGTACAAGTTTCAAAAATATTCTCCTTGACAGCAATATGGTTTTCAGCGTATGTACACGAAGTCTTTCGACGCGGTAGCGACTTCCCCGGTTTATCTTCATCACTTTTATCCACCAACGGCACCTTGCCAGGAGAACTCAGAACACTCTTCCCATCTGCATCTCCACTTGCCAACGGCAATGCAATACTGCCAGAACCGCCGCTACAGTTACACGTGTTACCACTACGCTCCTTGTCTTTATCAAATCCTCTGCTTGTGAGCTCCACTTCTTTCTCAGTTCCATCATCGTCTTTTTTACGCTGCATGCGCATATACCAATCCTGACTACTGAAAAGACTTCCAACACACATCCACCCACTGCTGTTGGGCATTCCTTTATCCTCACAACTGGAATTTGCTGCTGGGTCTAAAGCCGTTTCGGTGCTCCCGGTTATTAAGTCTGACATGCAGTTCACAGTGTTATGAGAAGCGGAAGCCACACCGTCGACACGTGCAAAGCCGCCTGTCGTCATATCTCCGCTATTACCTGTGTTGGTGTTACTGGTCCTTGATAAAGGATCCTCTGGTGCTAGTGAATTTGATCTATGAGGCCTACGGTCCGCCGTCAGAAGTCTAAGAAGCTCATCCACCTTCTTTTGATGTTCTGCTTCCACATCAGAGTCGCTTGTGTTGCTATTATCAATGGATTGCGCAGAACGCGAGCTGAGACGACGTACTAACTTGGGTCCCATAATACGCGCCCGCAACGGCATCCCAATGGCAGACCCTGAGGACAAGCTACGATTACTTACACTCAGTTCTTTCGCAGTTTCCTCTGGATTAAAACTTGTGATACTTGAAGTGTCAAGCATTTCAAAGATCAGCTGTGGCGATCTAACCTGGCCGAAACTGGGGTCAGACCCTGGTACCATAACTATGGATTGCAATGCATGACCACATGTGCAATTAGGGTTCCCTTGTTGCTCTGATGGAAGTGCAATGATATCGGACGTTCTATGGCTAAAAGGAGTGCATGCTGCGTCAAGTGGACCTTTAGGAAAGCTTCGAAAACTCCTGTCGACTAAGCCTTCGTGGGTGCGTGCCGAGTGTGCAGGATATTGCATCTTCTGCGAAACAACCCCATGATGAAATAGTTCTGCACTAGGAGAAGCAGATGCAACAGCCGTGGCCCCTATCATTGATAAATCTCTGTCTTGAATCGAATCTTCGGCATCACTAGCCATAACACCACGCCGCACGCAAGTCCTTCTACTCCTAAAGCTGCTACTTCTGCTATGAAAAGAGTTCGTGGGATGAAAGCTGTGCAGCGACAAGCCGATAACGGAGTTTATTGCTACATGTGTGCTGGATGCCGCAGATACAGGGTTTGCTGGGGCATGCTTTCGGAGTACCGATTTGGCGTCTCGCAGAGTCTGGCACGCGGGTGGCCCCGTTGTGGAAGAATTGAACCCCAACTGAGTGAATGAGGTGTGCGCTCCTCCACCCTTCACACTGCCTCGAGGACTAACCTCAGTCGGCAGCATGTGGGAAGTGCAAAAAGAAGAGTTACCGCTGAGACATTTGGTTTGGTCCACTTGACGAGAACCAAGCTGCATCGCCGTCGCAAAATGAGAACTACTTTCAAGTAAACTTCGGCTTTGTTGCCTTCCATTACTGCTATCAAAACGCATTGCATCCACCTTTTCATCAGTGGGATGCCGCAGCCGACGGCTTGTTGTAGAGTTGGTCGCCTTAAAGTCTACCAGAGGAGTGGAATCGGATCCTGCATTTGAACCCGCTAACACGTCAAAGCGCTTTGTGGTGGATTCCTGATTCATTTTTTGGCGACTAATACGCTGCCTTGAAGTAGATGCGACAGGGCTATCAGTCAATGGTTCAGAAACAAGAATTGGGTCAAGAAGATTTGAACCAAGCTCCACACTTGGCGAAAAAAATGTCTCCGAGTTGTCTAAAACCTGCAAATTTCTAGCCGCTTGCTGAGCGCATGGGCTCAAGTCGAGCTCCATGTTATTGTTTACGCTGTTGTGCTCCCATTTATTTTGCTCCGACTTCGGACGACTCTTCTTGTGATTGCGGCGGTGAGCACTAAGTAATCCTATCCGTGAAAGAAGTCTGCGGCATGAGGAATGAGACACTTCTCTTGCACTAAGACGCGGGACGCTCGATACCGTTGCAGATAGATTTTCAACTAATCCCTGCTTCTTCAAGGTTGACATGGACAAATTACTTTTACTTACGCTATTAACATTTTCATCAAGTGCATTTAGATCAGTCTCAAGAAATTTATCTGTGTTCATGCGCTTAGATATACATACATATACATATATATGTATATATGTATATGTATATATTGGAATTGAGAATGTCGAAAAATGCTTAGTACCGCTGCAGTTTACCCTAGTGGCTCAAACTGCAGAACGGGAAAATGTATAGGGACACCTGTCTCTTTTTTGTTTTTGCTAACTTTTGACAAAACTGCAACTACTTATTTAAAATTCGTTTTTGTATGTTTCGTTTAAGTACGACACAATTAGCTAATTTCCCACGCTGAAACCTTAATCCATAAATTCCAACAATAATATTCAACAAAAAAGAACTACTCAAAAAAAAACGTCAAAATAAGAGATTAAGCCACGTAGAAGTGGGTTATCGAAAACACAAAAATTCAAGAATCCCCAATTGTTCCGACAGTAAATAATGTGTGTGCTCTATAAATCTTTAAAAAGAGACTTGAAGTGTAACGTAAAATTACTCAAAGTGAAATTTACTATATAATATGTTCCTTTTCAGACAAATCTTTTCATTTAATCACCCTTCCTTCTGTTGAATGAGTTCTATAAAAATATATCCTTAAGAAGATGCATGATCCAATGCAACAGAGAATAAATGGAAAATTGCGAACAGCTAGAAGAACAAAATGCAACACCAAATTTTCAGTCCTCTCAAGCTTTAGCAAGAAATTACAATATAATATCTTTATATATATATATAGATACAGCATTAGCAAATCAAGCCTATTATGACATTTTTAGTTAATATAATAGAAGTAAAAACTATTTCTTTTTTACAAAACTGATTTGAATAGAAAAAAATGAGAAAAGAGTTGGAGGGAAAAAAGCCTCTTCGCATGCCTAAAAGTATGGTCCATGATAATAAGGAAAAGTGATGCTAATATATAGCACCGAGGGAAAAATTTAGAGGTTACTGAGGAAAAAATAATACATTATATGGCTTTCTTTTTTCCTTTTGATTATTCACTGGCTTCTACCTTAAATATAATGGTAAATATAGTGAATACACACAAGATTTGCAATGTGGTTCCTCATTTTTGGCCCCTTGTATTATCATTATAAATGAATGCATTGATGATGGACCATTAGCAGCAATTAACGAACTCTTTCTTTGATTCCCTTTTCTACTAATCGCTGCTTTTGTGCTGTGTTACAATGTTTTCCTACACGGCTTCTCCACACATACCCTTGCAACAGAATGTAAGTGTACTACATTTTCATCATTAGAGGAGTAAGTGCTTACTCCAGACCAAACTGTTGCATATATGTAAATTCGCTAGATAAAAATGGATGCGAAAGCGCCTGTGCAGCAGTTGGGCGCATCTGTGGATCTGGGTTTAGTAACTGACGAAGCAAGTCGTAAAGCAGAAAACGTTGCGCCATCAGCTCCTTACACATCGTCTCGGAGAGCTTTGCATCTGATGGAATGTCACTTGATTCGCCTGGTGGCACGTAAGGTTGCAAACCGTGACCTATACGTTTCTCCGCTAAAGGCAAAGGGCATTGCCGCACTAGCTCCTGTAGTGTCTTGCAGGTAAAGTAGCGCTTATACTCCACCATAGGGAGGTTGTTTTTTGTAAGAAAATCATCTTTGCTGACCAACTTGTAGCTGAAAGTGGTGTTATGTGTAGAGTTGTCAACGTGTTCCGTTATTTTCTCCTTCCATGCCTGAAAAGTTGCTGTTGTTCCAGATTTATCCTGGGGTGGCCTACTTCCAGGGAGGGCTTCCTGAATACCAGCATCATCAATACATTGCTTATTATAATACAAATCTGTGGAATCACCACATTCAAGCAGAGACGCGGGAAGAGGACCCAGCATATCCTCTATCAAAGTCAACTGATGATGGCTGTTACACCCTGGAAGAAGCGGCATGCCTAGGAGCAGCTCAGCTAACACACAACCCGTCGACCACAAATCGATAGGGGGCCCGTAGCCAGCATTGACAATGACCTCAGGAGCACGGTAGTAACGCGACTGGATATATGTGTAGAAAGGACCCGCATCATAGCAACTAGAGCTGAAGTCAATGAGCTTGATGTGCAGTCGAGGTATAGTTAATGAGGTGGATCCACGCATAGATGCCTCAATGGAATTCAGGCGCAGTAATGAACTAACCGGTGGCCCTACTGCCTTATGAACGCTATCCGGTGCCAGTTGTTCCTGAGACGAAGTACGATCTAGATTCTGAAAGCATTGTGATTTTGGCACAACGTGCATTTGCTCGGTGCTTTGGGTTTTTGCTCGCTGCTTAAGACTCAGTCCTGTTAGCGGCTCCGACCGCGTGCTTGCATCCACGCAGTCAGCAACCAGGCAACTTTTACTAGGCATTGTGACACTGCTAGGTTTTGCCTTTAAGTTGGCAATAGTAAGGGAAGTGGAAAGTTCTTCTACGTTAGATGCCGTTAATTCCCTGTCAACGTAATGTGACTCTACATCATTGTGTTTTTCTGGAAATTCATCAGCAGCTTGCCCACTGTTCGGACCTTCGGCAGAGGCAGGTGACACACTGCGCCTCAATTTTGCAGTATTTGTTTGCATATAATTGTTACTGTACGTGCCCTGGCAGGACTCAAGAGTGAGCAGTAGATTCTCTGGCTTGATGTCAGCATGAATAATGTGGCAATTCTCATGCAAAAGGGTCAGAGCTGACAGTAATTGCTTAGCGATGGTGCGGATTTGGAACATGGGCAGGCCACTGTGCTCGTGACTTTGGATGTATTCATAGAGATTTGCGCCGTAGCGTTCCATCACGATGCAATGATGCCCATAGCAAACGCCGTGAGCTAAGATTTTGCCGATAAACGCACATCGCGGGTCCGACGGCGGTGGATGGAGAGCCGAGTTCTGTGTCTGAGACATTGGAGAGGCTGCTTCGCGAGAATCAACTGCGTCTGTCTGCACGCCAATTAGAACGAGCATTTCTGCCTCCAAAACAGACTGCTGCTCGAAGAGTGGAATACTTTTTACTACTTTGACTGCCACAAGCGGGGAATTCGCAGGTGGGATGTTGCAGTCACCCAAAGGAATATATTCATGGCTACAGCTCCAATATGCGAAGTCTTCCCCACCTATCTCGCTTGGGTGAACAAAACGGCCACTGCTAACGCGCAGGTCCATGCACAAAAACACCTGGCCAAAGCTGCCGCTGCCCAATAGGTCTACCACTTCGAGCCATCCCATCAACCGTGTTCCAACATACACTATCAGATCGTTCGATTCATTATCCACTTCGCGTTCCAAGTTATCAATAGAATGCTGATGACGCACAATTTCCTTGAACTGCGTCAATGAAGAGCGACGTTGCTCCTGAAAAGGGGACCCCGTGAAGCAAAGCACGTCCTGTGAGCTATCTCGGGATAAAGGCCGTTGTGCTGAGATAGCCCCAAGGTTAGAATCGCTTGAACTAGCCACTACTTCACGACAAAACAACCTAGATTCAGCATTATTATTGAGATTGACGCTCTTCTCGTTGGAGCGCTCACAGTCATGCCCCAATGGAGAATAATTTGGTGTCAGAGTGTTTAACGTCGTAGTGCTTTTCATGATACTTTTCTCCATATTTCCATTAGGGTCAGTTAAAGATGAAGCTGGGTTATTGTTGATATTTCCTCCGAGGGTAAAGTTAGTACTATAATTATTGGAAAGCACATTAGGAAGTTGGTCAGCATGTGTATAACCATCGGGAGTACACGAGAGTTCATCAATATCGCTCGCATTTGATAGAAGGGCTTCTGAGCTGCCACCACCACCCTCACCATTTGTATCCCCATTATCGCGGCTTGATTTATTCAAAAGTGCCCATGTGTAGCGCAAAAACACAGTTGCCAACAACAGCGGTCGTCGCTGAATGCTTGCTATGACAACAGGATCCATGACCATGTGAGATTTTTCGTGTTGCCGCAGCTTCACATTGGTATAGAGCTTTTCCTTTACACCACGTACGCTAGAGCCATGAGAGGGAGTTTTTGTATGAGAAAAGCTGCCAAGGTGTTGTGGAATTAACCCCATCTTCTGATAATTTGGATGATACAAACTGAGGCGATTTCCAAAGCTGTAATACCCGGTTGAGCGACTAAGCGCGCCAGACACCGATGTGGAAGGGGTGGGAACGCTGAAAGAGCAAGCATACCTTTGTGAGTCAAAGCTATTAGCCCTTTGAAAGTTATTTGGGTGGAAGTTGCCAGAACCAAACCCAGATTGATGGCATACTCTACTGCTATCGAAGGAACTGTAATTCTCACAGCAGTTTATTATCTTGCAACTGCCAAGATGCGTAGAACAATTCCGCATATACGTACTGTAAATCATTTCCCACGTGCGGAGAAACTCAACGTTTTCCCTCGCACCGGAAATAAGCAACCCTGTGTCATGGCCTTGGCGCTGTATGTTGCTACTCGGTCGAAGCAGCCACTGTAGATTTGCATCCCGAGTCTCCTCGCCACAGCGGCGATTTGTCATAGCAAAGTCGTTGTGAATTCGAGACAGCCGTGACCATTTGTTGCACGTAGCTTCTAATCGAGGAGAAAAAGAACCTAATGGATCATCCATGCAGGTGTAGTCTGGTTGAAGCTTGACCCGAGATGAGTTATTTAGGATGTCTAAGCTTAAATCTCTATCCTCTTTCCCCATTGTATAGCCTCCCCTGTCGACAGTGAAAGCCTCGAGTGCATCGCCACTAGTGTTCATGACGAGGGGCTCATCTAAGGGACTTTGAAAGGGTGAAGATAATGACTTAAAGAGAGCTGGAAAGGGCCACGTTTGAAATGGTTCCATATGTACTGAAGCATCCCTATATTGAATGAGTGACGACGATGTCACACACGTTGAAGTGCCCTCGGGAGTGACCCATATGCTCTCCACCTTCCTGGCACATTGTTTGGGATTATTGAACACACGCGCTGTAATGGCACTATTCCTTTCTGAGCAGGCGCGATGATGAGCCGCATAGCAGTCCCTACAATGTGAAGGTGCAAGGGTCGATGGGTGGAAAGCAGAACAATTAACCCGTGAAGCTGGTGTTATAAACTTATCATAATTCGGTACTCGTTTGGGTCTCGTAAAACTTGAGGCGGGTGTGTCCGCCGGCTTCCCAGAAAGAACTTCATAAGGGTCACGACAGCCTTCCCCTTCGTCGCTTAGACCTTTATCACTATGGTCGTGATCCGGCGACGACATTTTGCATAGTGGCTCATGCTGCTTTGTTGTTTCCAGTAACCCTGGTACTAAAAGCCTGATCAAGTGAGTATCAGATAATCTCTGGCACTTGCCTAACTTTTCTGAACTAATGTTTACATCTTCTAATGATACAGCTCTCAACCCATCGTTCATAGACTCTAGCAATGGCTTTCGGACAAAAGTTGATTCAGTAGAACGGGATCGGAACCTCTTGCCAACCAAGTCTGTATTGTGCCTTGTGACAGTTTGAGAGTCGATTTCATCGGTACAGCTTCCACTAGCAACGTGTTCAAGACACGTTGTTAGTGCAGGTTTAGGTGGTGCATCACTTCCTTTGGTAGTACTTACTTGTGAAAGAACATCACGTGATGATGGAGAGGAAACAGCAGTAAGTGGAACTTCAATCCCTGGTGATTCTGACAGACTAGCCGCGGCCATACGGTTAGATCGGTCCGGAGAAAAGGACATTCGAACCTCATTCTCCTGTACGATTCGCTCTAATATTCCCCTATCTGAATTCAAACCCAGGTAAAGAGGTGTAACCGAAAAGGAAGAGACACCACGAAGGCTCAGTGTCGAAGCTGCTGTGTCGTAGGCCATGCGCTCCAAAATAGCTAGAGGTATGTCCCCTGAGGTGGTGGGTTGAGTCGTACGCGGTGCTCGCGGAATGTGTTGAACGTGAGTTATAGGCAGTGCATGCGCACCAATCGAGATCTGAGATATTGTAGAGTGACTTCCGGTACTGGCTTCGTGCAAGTGACGCGTACGGCAACCATCCATCTGCATTGACGATAGATCTTTCAAGATGTCTTGACGTTGGGCACTCGAAGCAACTAGTTTATCATCTGCAGCAGCGAAGACAGGTGTAAATGAATCCGCCGCTTTTGTGGCATACTCTTCGTTGACAGTGCTAAAGTTGCGAGTGATTCGTGATTCTGACTCTACTGTCTGGGAACCATTTATATGAACACTTTCGTGTCTGTTAAACATTCCGATGTGATGCTATTATGGTTAAACTGTGCTGACTGCGTTATTCATAGCATCTTTATTCAAGTAAATCCCTAACCTACGCTTAGGACTTGAAGATGTTATATTTACTTCGTGTCCTTATACAGCCTTAACGCAGCGCAATACAGCTAATTTGCGTGATATTAAGAAACAACTTAAACTATATTCCCTCTGATGTATATATTGTCACCTTAATACACCAAGTGAGGCAACACTTGGAATTGCGTGTGTGTGAAATATGGGTATGTGTAAAGATCGTGTTAAGCTGTGGTGCAATTAAGTGTTATACAAATATATAAATTAAATATCAAAACAATCAAATATCTAGACGACTAATCAAAACACAGTAAAAAGCGACAGCCTGAGTAATGATAATAATCTATTTCTCCGGTAATGGAAATAATAAAAAATAGAGAATAAGCTTATGTCCACTGTAAATAGGCTTAGGTAGATAAAGAACAATACAGAATACTTCAAAAAAAAAAACTGATATACACAAGCTTTTTAGCGGCACACCATATAGAAGCTAATCGTGAGTGACCTCCTTGCTATTTTTTTCTCAAACTATGTGCTTCCAACAAAGAACAAAAAAAAAGTTAGCTATATATATCTTGAAATTTGTTCCCAGCAGAAAAAAAGGAGATAAAAGGTAAAGAAATGCAGTCATATTGGAGCCCTCCACTGTCCATTTCTACGAATTGCTAAGGTATACGAACCAGAAGTAAATAGAATCAGAACAAGTTTTTTTTACAGAATGCTTTCCCGTGCCGATAACATTTGGAAGATTACCGTGAAAAGTAACAACATGCACAAGGTATTTACTTGGTCCAAAGAAAATAGGAGCCCAACACAACAAGATTTGATATTTTGCAAGTGACAAATTTTCAAAATGTTACTATATCCCATATAGCTACGCGTCAAGATGCCCTCCTTATAGGTGCCCTAGGCACATGTCCTGTTTATGATTATATCCAGACCTCACACATACTCAGAAAGGGGACAAAGAGACTCCTTTAAAATTCTTGATACACCTCGCGTTGCTTCAAAATATTTTTTATATAATATTCCCCTGCCTTGTATGAACTACGAACCATCGGACCCGAGGCGCAATACAGGAAACCCATCTTCATTGCCTCATCTTCCCACATCTCAAACTCCTTTGGATGGGCGTAACGAGCGACCTTCAGCCGCGTACGGGAGGGTTGCAAGTACTGGCCAAGAGTGACAGCTGAAACACCGGCAGTTCGGAGGTCTCGTAGCGTTTGTCGCACCTCTTCCTCAGTTTCACCAAGACCAAGCATAATGCTACTTTTTGTGAGTAATCGTCCGTTCGTATACCGCGTTACATGCTCAAGAGTTCGCAGAGATTGTCTGTATGTTGCACGTCGGTCACGTACACGTGGCGTGATCCGCTCAACACATTCGATGTTATGGGCATATACAGTCAGTGGTGCGGTTGTAATACGCTCCACTAGGTCCAAATTTCCATGGAAATCTCCCACAAGGGCTTCCAAAATTAATGACGGGTTTTCTTTCTTGATTTCACTGATGCAGCGGCAGACGTGACCGGCCCCACTGTCTTCCAAGTCATCACGATCCACCATGGTCATCACAATGTAATCGACACCCATCTCCTTTACGGCAGCTGCCACTTTCTCGGGCTCATTCGAGTCCAACGGAGGCGGCTTCTGACTTGTTAACACTGAGCAGAAGCGGCAGCCACGGGTGCAATGGGAACCCATAACCATGATTGTGGCCGTTGCGGTGCCGTCGTCCTCGCCACCCCAGCACTCTCCAATGTTTGGGCACTTGGCCTCCTCGCATACGGTGGACAACTTCTTCTCACGCATGCTTCTTCGAATACGGTTAAAACGCGGGCGATGTGTCATACCCTTTGGAACCTTTAATTTTATCCACGGCGGCAGCGGCTCCTCGCCTCTTTTAATGGGTCCCATGGAAGCCTGTGTGGGTGAAATACCCTCAGGCAGGTCGAAAAAGCTCTCAAGTTGATTTTTACCAGTTGTATCGCTGTTCAACTTTTCACGAAAGTGTTTAAGAAACCTTTCACGGTAGTTGGGATCTTTTTTATCCATTTCTGAGGCGATATTAATCCGACTCCTGAGAGTACTAGCATCGGCGCTGACAGAAGTTGTAGCAGTGCTTCTAATAACAGCACTTACTGTTAACAACAAATGCGAAGAGTGTCGGAGCATCTTTTTCCCTCCTTTAGAGAGGAGGAAAAGAAGAAAACAGAGTCAAAAAAAATTAATGAGAAAGCAAAAAGTAAAAAGTAAAAAGTAAAAAGTGACCTTCAGACTAGTTCCTATTGAATGTTGTATTAAGATTTTAATAAAATATAAAGATTACAAAGATTACAACTATGTTTTTGTCTTATTTTCTCCTCTTGATCCCTTTTGCTTTTCTCTTATAAAAGAAATATAAAATAATAGCATCAAAAGATGGGTTAGAAGAGAAATATTGCATTAATAAAAGTTAAATTAAAGTCATGACTATCCACTTAGAATTTTGATCACTCCACAAATGGCGTAAGTGCTTCATATAGAAACAACACATATAGCACGAAAAGTGTGTCTTCCCATTTACTTGTTTAGTATACATCTGGATTCGGATTCTCATCCTACCCGTTGCTTAAAGCACAAATTTTGAAGTAAATGACAAGAAAGTCGAGTTTAGTAACTGAAATCATAGCACACGAAAACTTTTTACATCTTTGATGCCCTGATGGTGCAAGTTCTCGATAATGCGCTGCGCCACTATGTCACCACTCCCTGATATGTCGAGATCGTTGACAACCTCCTCTTTTGTGACCCTGCCGTTGTGGTGAAGGACCTCCAGTCTGCGGCACGACGTATTGGCAGATTTATCCTGGCCACCGCTAAGATGCCAACAGTTGCGCATCCACAGCTCATAATCATTTTCAGAATCAATTTCAAACGCGGCATCACTAAAATAGCGAAGAAAGACCTCGAAGCTAATATATGTTTCGTCGCCGGTCCGCAAATCTAGTTGGTCACGAAAGAGAGCACGCGCTTCGTCCACGGACAACAATCTATCGGCCATATAAGGCAAGTACTTGGCATCAATCAGCCGCACGAGGTCCCTGGAGCGCAGAATGCCATAACCATCACTGCGATTACAGATACTCTCAAGTAGATCGTACACGCCCCTAATCAGCTGTTCGCGGCGTCCATTGACGCTTCCGCGAAGCTCTGCAATAACTGTGTCAATTAAAGCGGTACCACCACGACCCCGAGAATCGAAACCACTGATCACGGCATCACACTCGGTCAGAGACACCTCCAAACCGACAGCTTCCAATCCTTCACACAGCTCCGCTGCATTGATTTCACCGCTGTCCTTATCAGTACAGCTCTCTTGCAGAGCGTGTCGTAGTGTTCGTATGACGTTACCGGGCAAAGCCGTCCTACCAGGCATGCTCTTGTGAAGCTGCTGACGCAGGCGTTGTAGCACACCGCGTGCCTGTGCGGCTGGTGTGCTTCCGGTGCCGTGTACCTTGACAGGACACACAGGCAACAAAGCCACTTGCCCGCCCTTCACAGATGCACTTCGCATCTCTACTAGGTGGTTAACATAGGTTTCTCGTGTAGTTGTCTTAAAGGTTTCATTGAGTGTAGTTTTCCACTGCGGGTCAAGGTGGGGTTGATGCCCTGGGTAACTGGAGCGGGTGCGGTCCACGATTTCAACCATGACGCCCTGGTCAAAATTAATGAAGTCAGCTCTCCTGGCGCTCTTGGAGGTCCCAACCATATCACGGTAGGTCGTCATCCAGCACCTCTCGTTAGCCCTGGGAAGCACAGCCGTACCGTCGTGGAAGCTGGCATCGGCGCGCTCCTCGTACCAGTTCCCCTCCAAAGTGGCTGGAGTGTAGCCACTTGACATAGCAACAGTGCCAGGTAGATATCCTCTATTTTTAGGCTGATTCTGAGCGTTTTCGAGCCGCTCGCTAAAGCGTTCTTTTTTGTGCTCCCCACCAAGCATTTTACCTTAAGTCCCCTTTTAGGTTACTGTTAAAATTTTTTTCAGCAAGAAAAATTTAAATTCAAGTTAAGCAAAAAAAGAGATGACAGCAATCTTAAAAATCGCTATTTTGAAACGATCCAATCCCAGGAGACCGCGCTCACAGACAAAATAGCAATCAGTTTGTTTTAGTGGCTTCGTTGTGCACTCCTTGAAAAACATTCTCGAGAGGAGAAAGAGTTTAAATCAGTTGATTACAAGATGACATAACCGGCTCACTTGTGTAAATAATTTAAAAACAAACATTCAAACGGCAAGGAATAAAAACGAATATGCATATTTGATTGCGCCTTTTTACATAAGTCATCGTCCTCCTCCACTAACCTTGTAGACATTCCTATAATACACTACGGCACCTATTACATGCCTTGCATTGTAAACAAAGAAAAAGAGTACGTCTAAAGAAATTCCTTCAGCTTAAGTGTGCTTGCACGTATGTGTATGATGGAGGAATGTGATAATTCAACGAAAAAGTACGTGCTTCCATTTGGTTGCTCCTTTTTAATGCACCATTAGCAGATCACAGCAAATAAAACAATACGCACATCCACAAAGTGATAAGACCTTAGTGATATGGCACAGCATTGGGGCGCTCTGCCTCTTTAATGATCTCTTGTTTTATTTTTTCCTCAATTACACTCCAATTCACTTTGATAACTCCCTCTAGCTCCTTAAAGGCGGTGATAGTTTCCTTCTTGGCGGTCTCCTCCAAATATCTTTGACGTCTCGCCATAACTGTGTCAACGTGTGTCTTTCGATCCTTCGCAATTTCAAGGGCGCGCTCCCAGTTAAAGAGCTGGGTGTGCATGTCAATACAACGGTACACAAGCCCCGCCTGCAACAAGATGCGTTCTGCTTCAACCGGGCGTTGTTGGAACAGTGCCAGTCCTGCCTGACGAGCCTCAGGCAACGAGAGTTCCTTGAGTGAATGAAGGTAGCGCACCTTGTCAAGGTGACACAGAGCACCATAACCCGTCTCAGCCACGTTCAGTTCACCCTTGCTCAGAGCGAGGCCAGTAAGAACGGTCCAGAGTAGATCACTATTAAGAAAACGTGCAAGACGCATGGCACCCTCCCAATTACTCTTCTCCATGAATTGGAAAAGGATAATGGGGTAGGGTGATACGGAAAGCGTTAGTAAAGCGCCATCGCTTCCACGACGTATCTGCACTCGTGCGCTATGAAAGCTAGTGATGCGATCGTTCGGGCTGAACTCGTCACTACCGTCGTCATGTACCTCCTTAGTTTTGAATGCAAGATCTCGATTTGTAAAATACATACAAGGGCAGTACCAAATCGTGAGGTGGCCATCCGTGATGGCAACTAGCGTCTCATGCATCTCGTGCCAGGCGACACTGGAAGCCATAGTGCTGATCTTTTGTATGCCCAGCTTGTGCTGAGCGAGGCACAAGAAGAGGTCTCTGTTACGGTCGACAAAAGCAACTTTACGATCGTGGATTAACCCAAACTGCGAAAGATGGACAGAAACAATGTCCACTTGGTGAGCCACCGTCGACGCGTCGAGCTGTTTACCACTCATAGTCGAAAAAAAAAGGAGCTTCTTGTGATCCATGGGGTTGCGCATAGCGACGGTATCGTTTGACAACGAGATAAGGTCAGCTGCCATAATCTCTGGCTTCAGGGCTAGCTGTAGCCGTAGTGTGCATACCATGCGGCCTTCGTACGAGTAAAGCTGAATGCCCTGGCTGCAATCAGCCAGCAGGAACAAAGCCGGAGCAAGCTTCAGGGTTACCACAGCGTCACTCAGGTCAAACTGCACGGGAGCGTTGAGACGGTCTACAGGGTAACAAGCACAGTAAGTGATAGCGCACACAATGATGTGGCCATAGCCAATCTCAAGCTTTATCACCTTGTCACGCTGCTCGAGCTTCTCAACAGTGTCCTCAGCGATGTTTTGCACTGTCAGTTTATGACTGTCCACCAACGTGGCACAATAGGGGCCCCATGTGACCTTGTGGTTGATAAGCTGTGCGGTACAGACAGCACCAGTGCCGCAGCCCACAATAAGTTGTGTTCCCTCAGGAGTCCATTGAATAGACATGGCACTACCTTCTGACAACTTCTCGTAGCTGTGGCTCCAACCCGTCTTATCACAGACACGCAAGCTTTTAAACGAGCCCACTCCAAAGAGTTCTCCATCAGCGGAAAACTTGACAGAAGTGATAGGATGCTTGCCAATAGAAGAAGTGTAAATAGCGCGTCCATACGGATCCCAAACCTTGAACATACCATCCTCACCTCCAGTGACAATGAAACCACTCATAAGAGACCAATCAGCCGTAAGCACAACACCACTGTGTGCGCACCACTTAATTTGTTTCCTAATTGATGGATTAAAAGGCTTAATAATAACATCTGAACCAACTGTATACAACACACAGTCCCCCCCAAGCTCGGTCTTCTCGTAGCCCCAGCATAAGGTGTAGATACACTTTCCAGTGTTGGCTAGGGTGGAACGAGGGATTCCCGCCTGAGACCACACCTTAACGGCCCCATCCTCACCTGCAGTAATAAGTGAGTTGCCTTCGGGAGAATACACGAGACCAGTCACATTACCAACATGGGCCTCTATAGTGGACTCCACGCGACCACTGGCAGCGTTCACAAAAGAAACAATACCATCTGAACAAGCAACAAGACAAGTATCTTTACCTTTCAGATCCCCACGCCCGCGTCGCAGGCAGCCAGACGTGGGAACCCAGGTCAGCAGGGTTACACAGCTGGCAAACCGCTTGACTATACCAAGGGCCTCACCATTCATGTTCCAACGCCGAACCGTAAAGTCATCGCTACCACTAATAACGTATCCTGAAATAGAAACAGCTATCGACGTGCATGATTCACTATGCTTTTCCTTCCCGGTAGTAATGTTAAGCCGCATAAATCCTATTGCCTCTTATTCAATTCTAATCTATAGCAAAATATCTACAAATAATAATATTCCTTGTTACTTACAACTTAGTGAATAAAAAGTTCTGCATCGGATGAAATCATCTGTCTACTATAAACAGGTAGTTTCCTAAAGTATAATCACCATAATAAAAGTGATTCAGTCGAAAAGTCGTGCGCTCATGATAGAAAGAGTATCTCCCCCTGAAAGATGAATTTGAAACCTGCAATCCTGAATGACAAGGATAAAAATACGAAAATATTTTGAATTGCTAATGCTGTATTGAAAAAGCCAATATATTTGCGCATGAACTCGACTTCTCCCTCGTCATGCATCGAGATCACCACCCTGACCCTTCTACTAGCTTATCTCCACCATCAATTCCTTCTTCACTTGAAGTACGATCGTTAAAAAAAAGAAAAAAATGCGCACCGTTTACATTATCTACATTACTATCTCTCTTGCTATTCATATTGTATGTTGCATAAATACATCTTCAAAAAGAAATCCTCTATCATTTCTCTTTTATTTTGAACAAAGCTAGAAGAAGGGGGTGAGGAAAAGGAGTACAGAGCTTCCGTGCTATCATCTGAGCCTACTCTGAAAAGAGGAAGTACGAAAAAGAAATTTAGAAGCCGAATGAACAACAGAAGTGCGAGAAACTTCCTTTACTTAGAAAGCCTTAATTTATGGAGATATACAGACCAGACAATGTCAACCTTACCCCTTCACCATCCCAAAAAAAAGAAACTATTGGGGGGAAAAAAGTGAATGCAACTCATGGAACGCGGCCAAGTAATGATATTAATGGGCAAAGTAGACGTTCACCTTTTATTTCACTTGGTTCTCACACATACGAAGTGCGACCCATCTGTGTGATAATTCTATGATGGTGCCTTACCCATCAACATTGAAAGGAAAATAGAGTCGCGATGCGTTAATTTTCGACGTTTTCACTCTCCCTAAATTCGTTCGGCTCTTTTGGATTAAGCTTCATAGATCATCAATATTGTAAACAAAATTTTGCTGATTTCGAGTCGAACCGTTTCCTCGCCCACATTCACCGCGCAGCTGGTTGCCCTGTATTTTAGCATAGAAAGTAAAAAAGATAACTTCTCCTTCTGGCGACTCCAACGCTATACCCCACTCCATTGGATACTCCTGATTCCCAGAAGTATTTATTACACCTGTCACTCGAGCTTCTTGCGCAATTAAGCGTGGTGAATCCTCAAATAATTTTATGGTACCGCTTATGGTGCCGCTGGCAAAGTTCGCTTCCAAAAGTAGCATCCAGTGAGGATTTTCAACAAAAGGTGTTGGATCGCAGGAAGACTTCTTATTAGAATCACATTCCACCCGTATCACACGCATCACACCAGAAGCATCTGGGCTGTCCTTTGCACTGTCCATCGTCACCACATGACTAGCGCTATCCACTGCAGCAGAAACAACTTCCGAGGCGCTATCCTTACGGAACATATGTGCATTTGTCTTTTTGTACTCCACCACTTGGCGAAATACGTAGTCGAGAAGCGCGCGGGGGTCACGATTACGTGGACTGCGGAGCTTCTTTGTGACGCCTAAAATTTCGGCAGCACTTAGTATGTAGTAACTCAGACCTTCGGGCTTGCATTTGTTGGTCAGCTGAGCTAACTGCACACGCTCCGGTGCGAACTCCTCATCGAGATCGAATAAGTCGAGCGCAGGGATCATCGGATCACGATGAATCGGATCAAAAACCGCTGGCTTTACAGGAGGCAGCGGAGTCTGAAACTCAGGCGGAATCAGTGACAGCGGCTCTAACTTTAAGTTAAGCTTTTCGTAGGTCTCTACCACGTTCGGGATTTTATCTGTGTCTAGTTTAAAGGTGTTCAGGTCGAATAGTTTTGTGAAATCGCGGGGAAGCTCCTCCTGTTGCTCCACGGCCACGCGTAAGCGATCCGAGAGTGATGCAGTATCTGGGAGATGATGATATTCCGTTATATCCGGTTCGTCTGCATCAATCTGATTAAGACGAATACGGTGATTCAGATAGTCAAAGAGAACTGCCGCTAGGACATCGTTCTCCTCTTTATCAAGCCAGCTGTCCTCAAACACCTGTGCACTTCCGATGAGCAGCAGCTTACCCTGTTTGTGGCGACCCAGATGCTCCACGACATGTGGACACTCCCAAACCGCGGCTATTGGTTGGTTAAGCGGGTAGGACATAAAACCACTGCTGAGGATCGGGACACCTGGTCGATTTACTTTAAAGGTAAGGCCGTAGGGATATACAAAGATTAAACTGGTCAGTGTGTCTGCGGCAATCTGAGTGACGTTATCATCCGCTTGAGACATCTGTGCTGCCATATTCTGCATGTTGTGTCCTACGTCCGTCTTACTGGTGATTGTAGTGCGACTAAGCGTAGTAAAGGTACCTCTGCCAAATCCTAAGGAAGCAGTCCCGTTAGCTTTTGTAGGACCAAAACTACCGCTGTTTGTACCAAAACCCGAGCTGTAACCGCCTGACACCCCATGGACATTTTTACCCGCAGCTTTATTGAGCGCACGATTAATCACACCGTTCGTGACACAAACTTCCTTAGGATGCAAGTACTTGTGTTGGACGGTTCGAACAACGCAATCATCGTTGAGGCGAATCCCAGTCCAATCCATCAGCAATTGGTTCAGATAAGAGTACCTCCCGCCGTGGCCATCACCAAACATCATGCAGGCAGAGCCACCTTTCTCAACGTACTCCCGAATCACGGTCAAATCTTCCGCGCTGCAAATTTGCTGCGGGGCTGCGAACACCACTATGTCATGTGGAAGCAATCGATCAAGTGTGATGTCTTCTTTGTTTACTTCCACAGTAGCATTCTGCTTGAGTTTTCGGACAAGCTGCTTAAAGCCCTTGTTAGGATGATAACTCTCCTTGCGACACATGTTAAAGCATATATTGGTGAGTATATTTTCATCATCTGTGGAAGCCTGCTGTGTGCTAGGGGGGAGTACTTGCGATCCGTTGGATATAGATGTAAAAGCACCCTGGGACCTATTGTCAGGGCTGTTGACTAACATATTATCTTTTATGTGCGTACACACAGCTTAGCAGGCAACCGTCACCAGGCAAAAGATCTAAACACAATTCTTCAGCGCAATCTACATATAGAAATAAAATCAAAAGAGAAACACAGAGAAAGGAATGCAGAAAAAACTTGGAATGGATTTTTGGCTTTACTTAATATTATGTCTATAATGTTTCTGATGCAGCAGGGTGCAATATGCCAGAACCATTTTTCCTAAAAAAAATATGTTTTTTTACCACCCAACACACACGAAGAATATTCGTACTGAACCCATCAGTTACACTATACATGAAAGAGTGAGACAGGAGCACGTAATTAGCATCGAATCTATTTATTTAAGTACCTTTAATTTTTACTATGCTCGATCAAATCACCTTTCTTAGCACGAATAAAAAACAATTCATTTGTAGATATCCAATGGTCTAAAAATTCAAGAGTACCTCTCTATATATGTAAACAAACTCGCTTAGTGTATATAGACTATACTTGAACTTCAAATTTACCACAAAGAATATCCGCTGATGTCAGGCGATCCAATCGGTAGCAACAAAAAAAAAACTCACCGATAATATATATGTATATCCATCCATAAAAGTTTGTGAAAATATGCTTCACATTAAAATTCTAGAACAAACATGGCAAGTAAGATAGCAGTTATTTTGATAAACATTATTATTTGGTTAACTTCATAATCATCCTTTCCAACTGAGAGAAGAAAAATATGCCTTTTAAGCAAAGACTAAAATACTGTGATTTCTACTACCTGTCAACTAGAAATCGGCATTATTCTGAAATAGGCTTGACCTGATGTGTCTTTTCAATTTCATGAGATCTGGTTAACACTTCGTATAGGGTTCCTAAACCGAAGAAAATAAACAAGATTCCACCCAATATATTCACAGATTTTATTGATATTCTCTGCGCTATGAGTTTTCCACATAACACAGCGCCACAAGTACAGATAGCATGGCCCAGCACGCCACCAATTGTAACTGCATATGCGTCCTTCGAAGCAGCCAATGCGATGGTTGCTATTTGGCTACGATCACCCCATTCCGCAAGAAATGTCAATGTGAAAGCCTCTACCATCACAGGATTGAGCAACTTGCGCCAGCGTTTGGCGGACGGACTGGTGTACACGGAGGTCCCCACGCTTCCTGTCTCTACAGCATCGAGTGGATCTCGCCGGCGAAGCGCTGCTGCAGCTTCAGCTAGTTCATCTTCATTCTCTTCATCAGAATTTTTTCCTGTCATCAACTCCTCGTAAAGTATCTTGATGCCAAACATAAAGAAGAGAAATACCGCTAATGCTTGAGTAACACGAACGGATACAACATTAGGAACCATAACACCCATCAACGTCGAGAAAATCGTCATGGCGGCTAAGGCAAAAACTGCTCCGATGTAGACAGATATTTTTGAATGCCTCATGGACATCAAACAGGCAATAAAGAATGTCTTATCCCCAATCTCACTCAATAAAACCATTGAAAAGGAGGCTAAGAACCCCTCCAACCACTTTCGCAACAAGTTCTGGGGCATTGATGTCGTTGCTCGCTGCGATGTGAGTAACTACGATAAATACACAGAACGCTCTCAAAAATATAATCTAAAAATAATGGATCCCTATGTTCATAAATTGAGTATCTTCTGAAGGAAGAAGGAGCAAAAATATACTCATAAGAGTGTTGAATGGAAAAAAAGAAGTGCATGACATAGAACGTTAAGATCAAATCTCAAAAGCTGATCCTCCCTCCCTCCGCTTTCAGTATTCAAAACTGGATACAAGGAGAAAAAAACGTAATAAACTTCCTTTATGAAGATTATTGTTATTAAAGCATATTAATAAATGCGCAATACATGCTATTTGGAAAGTGGACAAAAATTATAAATCATTTACAAGGGAAGACAACTGGACAAAAAGACAAGTATACATAAAGTGCTTATCCTTGAAACTGACGAATTCCACCTCTTTCCAGACTTCATTTTCATATATAATGTGACATTTGTGTAAAACAAGTGACAGAACGTTAAATACAGCTTAAAATCGAACAAGCAAATACTCGAGATCAAAAAGTACACGCACAAACAGAACAAAATCTACCTTTTCCCCCTCCTTCCGTACGCGATAAAGTAAGCACCACATCGATCCCCTAGCACTCAGCCCACATAACCTGAATTAGTACTCGAGAACTTATGAAGAAAAGGGACCCAAAACTGAAAGTAAACAAAAAATAATAGAATAAAATTCCCGAAAAAATGTTAGGAAGAAATGCTATTGTGTTTCAAAGATGTTCCTACTAAACTGCTACACTTCACGTCCTTGACACAATGGTTACGCCTTCTCGAAGCGTCTCATCATTTCCCAGGACAGTAAGATCATCCCCTACCGCAACCTCGTAAGCCTCAGTAGCCCTTCCAGCGTCCACCCTGGGGACGTTTCCATTTTTTTTTGCTTCACTCGCTGACTGGTTATACTGATGGTTACCCTGGGACAAACACCCAGGGGAGCCCTGCACTATCGAAACAGAGGCACTTTTAGAACCATTACTACTGACCATTCGCTCACACAAAGTCTCCGAAAATGCCCCCACGTCCCCACCGACCGAAGTGGCATTATTATTATTGTCATTGGCGTTGGCTAAGCTGCTGTTATTTCCGTGTCCATGATGAGCAGCGAAGCTACGGGTGTTTTGGTAGCGCGGGTCGCGGGGGTCGACGTGCAGCTCCTTACAGTTCTGGCTAAAGCGACACTTACCCTTGATGTGATTCAAGCAGGCCTCGTAAGGGTAGTTTGCGAAGGTGCAATCTGTCATAAAGTTGCAGAAACCGTACACGCGCAGGCAAGGATGTAGAGCTTGTTTGCTGCCGCCACGGTTGGCTTTGTTTGTATCGTGCTCAAAGCGATGCCCAGTTGCCAAGCGGTGGCTTCCTGTGGTAGCCGTAGCAGCTACTGGCACGTGGACTGAGTTAGGATCCGCGCGCTGCTGGCCCGCAGTTGTGCCGCCTCCACTTGGATCCACCGAGCGCAGCAACGTGCCCTCCTCCGTCCAACCCGATCGTGGTTGTGAGTTGGCGAAATAGGTTATTGGGATACGATGTACTAACTGTGGAATATCCTCCAGTCGTACAGACTTAAGATGGGACACGAGCCGGATCAGCGACTTGTTGGGTATCACCACGTCGGTTAGCTCCTCCTTCGTTTGCATGGAATATGCTTTACTGTTCGAACCGCTACATTCCTTGAAGTATCGGTCGAGGGCCTCGCGCTCGTAAGTGTAGCCGTCGCTTGCCACGACTAGGTCCCGAGTGTTAGCAAAACGTCGGACCAAATTTTCAACTTGGTGCAGATACTCATCAATATGCTGTACCTGATGATACTTTGAATCACACTCCTTAATAGTGTTGTTGTACAGCTGCCGTGTCTTCTCAAGTATGTGGCCAAGGCTGTTCGTGAGCTCGAGCAGACGACTAATATCCATACTGTGTCTGCGAAACCCATTTTGAATCATTTGAGTGGCCTCCCAGATCAACATGCAGCTATCGTCCTGCAACGAAGAGCCACCGCCAAGGGTAGTGTATCCACCCGTCCCACCGCAAATGGTATTAACCTCAGAAATCATGTTGTAGCCGTAATGAAAATAATGAGCGAATTAATATAATGGTGATAAAAGAATCCTGTTTAAAAGGTGATAAACAAACAAGACTCAGATACATTTTTCAATTTTAAAGAATTCAAATTTTAGAATACATATGCACTTCTATATATGTCATGATGTCAATGTCAAAGATTGCACTCACACACAACCGCTGTGCCCGTAGAGCGGAAGAAACGCCTCATATATACTTCATTATTTAATATGGTTCAATATTTCACTGAAAAAGGAGGTGATAGGTAGAGTAGGCAAATCGAAAAATTAAGGAAAATTTCTCTCACACTGTTCATAGCAAGAATTGTCAATGAACATAGAAAATCAAAAGCTTACCAAACGAACTAACAGTACTTTGGAAAAGTCTTTCTTGCTGATAATAATTATAGCCACATTGTAAGCAAAGTATAGAGGAAGAACTAAAGAAATAGAAAAGGGTGTCCTTTGTCGTTCAATAATTTTTGTAGCAAAAAGTGTCAAAAAAAAAACATCGGCCGCCACTTGCACGAAAGCTTCTACACTAGAGAGCTGACAGATCTTGAGAAATGGTCACAAAGACTAAGAAGTACCTTAGTCCATTATATTACGTTTATTTTGTAGTAATGCATTTTTATTCCATAGATCAGTCTCAGTGCTGATGAAACTCCTAAGCTCCACTACAATGCCGATCTTTTTTTTACAAACTTAACCCTTATTTGCATGTAATGAGCTCAATATTAATGTGACGTAATTACACAGATTTACATCATCCTCCACTATTTCTTCAGTATTGTTCCGCACTAGAATTGGATAAAATCAAGAACCTTATGGATGTCAAAGAATTCCATAATTACAAACATGGATATCCTTCTCTCACGTTCATCCTCCTACATCCATTCCTCATGTTATACCACCTATTTATAGCAAAACAGCTCGTTTAAAGAGAAAGTGCAAGTGAAACCGATTTTCTTAAACTTATTCACTGAAGCTCCTTCCCTTTAAAAAAAAAAATTAGCTAATTGCAGTTCTGAATTCACGACAAGAAACAGATGCACGCCATACCAAGAAAGAAAAGGCAAATCAACATGACTGATATGATAATACGCACAGCTAATGTGACTCAGCCTTCTCCTTCTGCGCAGTCATAGTGTCCTCTACAGTACTAGAAGCATTCTGAATGATACTGTAGTTGTTGGTGTTGTTACTGGGTTCGCTAATAGGTCTACCATAGTCATCAAGCGGGCCACAGAATTCAACATGCCGCTCGTGGCAATGATTGCGGAAGCGACACCTGCCCTTTAGGTTAGAAAGACAAGCATCATACGGGTACTTGGCATACGAGCAACCGCCCTTGTAATTGCAGAAGCCGTAGACTCGAATGCACGGATGTAAACGCTCCCCAAGAGCGTTCACTTCAGCAGTACTCCGATTGGTGTTGTTGTTGTTGTTTCCTCCCACACTTGAATCCTGATTGGCAGATGGGCTACTGGTTGTACCTGCCCCTGCCGCTATAGAGGGTGCATCACCCTTGGCATCGATGGTACTGAGCTGGTTTGGAGCATTATCGCCTCCCTCAGACTGGTAATGTGCAGTGTCGGTGCTGAGTAACTCTGTGAGACCGTCCAGCAATTTCATCAGAGAGCGATTGGGAATTAGGAGAGATGTTATGGGTTCATTCGTTTGATGAGATATGGGTGTGGTACCACTCTTCTTGCAGCTTTCGATATACTCCGTTATAATATTCCGTTCATATGTAAACCCGTCGCTTGCGACAACGGCATCCTTGACGATACTATAGCGGCCGACAATGCGTCGAACACCCCGGATGTTATCCTCTGACTTTTTCAATATCGTATCAAGACAATCTTTCTCCTTGGTGACCTTATCATAATGCCGATGGAGGCACTCCACATCGTTTACCATTCCTTGTAAATTGTCCAACAGCTTGCTAAGTTGCTGGTCGTAATTTTGTAGGTCTCGGACAAAAGACTGGATGCAAGCCTGTGTGCTGGAGTAGGCTACCTGTGGTGTCAGATTGGAATCTGTAGAAGACAACATTGCGTGGATTATATTACTGAAGCTCACCGGTATGTCCTACAAAGTACACAAGATAGTTTTACAACCTACAATGTGGGAAAAAAGGTTCAATTTAACCTTGAAAAAAAAAAACTATCGCCTAAAACCGTGGGCTAAGAGAAAAAATACTCACGGTTTAGTAGATGAAGGGCAAGAGAATCATGCAGTGTTCTGGATACCGTCAAAGTTTGAAGGTCATCCCCATAAGTTTGGGCAAATATAAGCAAAAGATGACGTCTTGAAAGAGCACCAACAACACAAAGAGATAATAAGGCTTAGAATTGTGGTTTAAATTCGAAAGGATGTGCATACTTTTGTACATCCTTATGGCTTTATTGGAAATTGTAACATGGAAATTGGTTAATAACAAACACCATCGAGGGACATAAATACAAATTTACATTACCTTTCCTGCTCCTTGTAAAGATGAAATTCAGAATTAGGAGCTAGAAAAAAATAAGTGGGTAACGTATTATTTACCTTCTCCTGCTTCCAGGATGGGCCAATCGGAAAATAGACAAGCAACCAAAAATAAAATTGAGTGATGAGATTTAAGATCTATGTATAGAGATAATTTATAGTTAAAATGAAAAAATAGATCTTTGTGAGACAGAGAAGAAGGGAAAAAATGTGAATCAAATACTATAAAGCTACGCCATGCAGATACGATTTGATAGGAAAAGGAAGTTAACGTAGAACTTAGGAAGACTAAGGTAGATTCGATTTGCTAAAGAATTGTAATTCCGATAAAAGAGAGATGTCACATGCTAGCCTTCTGTGTAGGCCTCCGATGCATTCGGATCCCCCCTGGATGCCTTCCTCCCGCGAAGTTTGATGAATTTTTTGCATTGCTATCAACTTCCCTTCGCAACCTCATGTGAGGGAACCTCCACCATTTGATGGATGTGTAGATTGAGACAGAAAACCTCACTCGCCAACGGGATGGTGCGTGCTGAGCTGAGACGAATGTTACTAATTATTTTAAGAAACAATCTATCAAAATGTATTCGGTGATTGAAAAGGCCGTCACACAACCCCCTAATGTACATTCACTCATACCCTTTCTCATAGCTCTAGATCAAGCGTGTGACCTGTCAAGTACTGCAGAACATAGTGTAATTTTCTGTAAAACTTGAGGCAACGCTTTAGGAGGTACGGTGAAATAGGTGATGGGGTCAGAGAACTGGATATCGAAACGAAAAATGACCTCCATCGGAAGGATAAAATATTGACTCATAATTACACAGCGCATGCTTATTACGCAAAAGTTGAATAATTGTCTCTTAAATAATAGGTCTTTCAAAGATGATCTGGGAATAAGTTGTGCACCGGCAGATGTTTTGCAAGAAGTGTGTAGCAGTGTAGCGAGCTGTACCCACCGACGAGTTAGGGTTCCAGAAGGGGTATGAATTCCACGCACGACATTTGACATACATGGAGGATGCGTGGTAAACCCATAATTGCATTATTCGTACCTTTTGGGAATCCTCCATTTCCATCGAACAACCATGTAGTAAGCGGTTGAACAAGAAGGAATGGTCCGCTCGTGGAATAGGCAAGGCACTCACATGCCTCTATCACTAGAAATAGCGACACAATTTTGGGTATTCAGAACTGGTAAGAAGTGTGCCGTCTGACAGAAACACCTAAACGGAATGTCTATTGCTCGCGACGGGTGCAGATGCCTGAGTTCAGCAGAGTCCCAATCCTCAGAAAGCGAACTACGCGGAAGAGTGTCCCAAGCAACGGAGCCACCGTTGGTGAATCTGCTCCGTCCTCGGTGCTCATCGCTTTGGAAGTACCTATACAGAAGGTAATGAAGTGGTAATGCAAAATGTAGGAATTTTATAACAAGTACAGTATAGATAAATGTGCAACGGCTAATATGAAAAGTCGGCACGCTACCAAATTAGACGAGCATGGTGCACGTATATCCCATCGATAGAAGAATACTGATAAATTAGACCCTGTTTTTCTAGATCTCTCAGAGAATAGGTTTCGCTCATGGGATACATATTAGGGGTTTTGGAAGCCACTGCAGTGACCATATGTAATGCATTGTTTAAGTTGCTGCGACAGGGATCTGCTTTTCAAGAAAAATTTGGGAAATTGGTGGTGGACATGCCCAACCCGCTCTCTATAAACAAGCGAGCTGTCCCACAAACAGACCTGCTTTGAAAATTGAAACCACCTACTTAGCAGACCCAAATGAAGTTAAAAGTCTGTGCAACACAAAACTCAGCAAAGAATTCAACATAGACTCTACAATGGAGCTGGAAACATACGTCCCCTACTCATTTCCCCACAATTCCACCATTCACAACCAAAAGCGTCACAAAGGGCACACACGCCATATGCGCAGCAACGCTGATCCTGTGGAAAACCTACATAGTCCACGTGGAAAATATCAATAGCTATACTTCCTATCATATTGTCATCATTCACAGAATACACGTACGGAGGATCATTTATAGAGAGAGTATCGAACCCTTTCACCACACCTTCCTCATTCTGGGGAAATTGGTACCGCTGTGGAGCCTCCATTAGAGACTGTATCAGTACCAGCAGCCCGCCAGCTGAGGTCGGTGCACAAAAAAGTAGTGCCCATTTTCACTCACTAACATGGGTTCTGCCATAAAGATGTTGCTTCTCTAGTATAGACTCAACTCCCTCCTAAACTAGATTAGATAGAGTCCGTGGAGGTGCGAAAACAATCGATGTTCGACGTCTCGCGGCATAGGCTAATGGAAGATTCTTGAGCCGCAGATCACACAGTATTTCTTTGCACTTCACCAATCCCATCCGCCCGGATATCACAACAGGTATGAGGGCAATTGAAACCGAAACCTCTATTGACGTAGAGAAACTTTTAGTAGGATACACGAGCAGCAGCAAGAAGTTAGTTATATGAATGATATGATCTGATGATCAATGTAGCATCTGCATTCAATGATAATAAGAAATGCATGAGAAGAAGACACTTGACCGTGTCGACTTTGACAATTACATTACTACTTTTACTATTGTGATCGGTCGTGAATAAGGACACGCTTTCTTGGAAAATAGTCGGCAGGAGAGCATCGTAGAAGAAAATAGTCCCTCACTTTGTAAAGGACGCAAGTTGACACACGATTCATGAAACACGCTTCACACAAAAGAGAAATTGAATGTGTCTGACTAAACGTGTGCAAACTAGGAAACTGTTTGATGGTAGCACTGTATAGCTCTCAAAAAAAGGCAGTCCACTCTGTTCCGCTTAGTTAATGCTAAGCTGTTGTGACACACAAAATCATCACCAGAAGCACTTCTTACAAGGAAACTATTTATAGAACGTAGATCGTTGAGGTCAAGCCTCTTCAAGACGGAAGAGCACAACCACCGCCGCGGTACAATAGCAGCATGTTTCCTGCGACCCGTAAAGGCTGCACTATATAACAAATAAACCATGTTAGTGACCTATTACCCGCCTGGTCGACATTCCCAAGCGTTTTACCTGGGGGTTGTGACCACAGAATAATCAATTCAGGACCCAGCGGAACAAACCATCGATGGCTTTGCAATACGTGCTGGCACGATTACATAGTATCCTCAAAAACGCTTGACTGAATCAAATGAACGCGCAGCATCTACCATGAAGCCATGTACCACGCTACACACAGTTGTGGTAGTGGAAGTGGTGAAATCGCTAACATGTTTTCCTAAACGCTGCGCTATGACAACACGTGAAGGTTTGTCTAAGGAATCAAAATCAACCAGGACATGTACCCCATCGGAGAGCACCAGACACAGAACTGCTTGCCATCCTAGCAATTGGAGTTTAGAAATGCGCCACAAAATATTCCATGCTTACTTACGGTGGTCATCTCTTGGACTGCGTTCAAGAAATTCTGCTCGTGAAAGTTCCAGCATTCAAAGGACGAAAATCCTTTACATGAGCTTCATTGCGCTCAAGGATATCAAGATTGCTCGTGTTTCATGCGTCAGGTCCTTTCCGTAAGCTGCATGATGATAATGTTCAAAAAAAAAAAATTTGCAATGGTAAGAAGAGTTTTCCTTACAATCTTATCTTGCGTACCAGATGAATAATTTTGACCAAGAGAAAGTCCCCAATATATATATATATATATAACCTAAAACTAGAGACGAAGAGAAGAAAAAGGGAGAGGGTCAGTAAGGTCAAATGTTGGGAATCCCTGGGCATAGAATATTAAGTTCTTGAACTCTCCAATTAAAAAAGAAATATGCGAGGCAGACCCTTTACAGTCCTGTCCTTGAAATACCCTCGATGTGATGCATTGCCCATGTTTATGCTTGAATTCCTCCGATGTACCATTGTGTATCTTCATTCACAAAAAGAAAAGAACGAGCAAAATAAATAAAATGCAAGCTTTTTTAACTCGGCATAAATATTCAAGTCAGATAAACGCTAAGATTTTTCAATCGAAGCGTTTCGTCCGCTTGGACAGCCTCTGAGGAGACCCTATTGTATGCTCTACCAGTACCAGCATCTATGCATATATGCCCCTGTCAATGGTGAGAAGGCATGCAGGCGCTTGGCTTCGCCAATAAAAGGCTACTAGTCTGCGGTACCATGAAGAAGTCGCTGGCATATACCGCGTGTACGAAGAATTCGTAAACAAGCACCTCGTCCTTAGAAGCGACAGATACATAAAAAAGAATGTAGGCGCACACTAATACAGCTTGTAGATCACTCTGTAATAATACATCCAGTCAGACTCCAGTGGATCACAAATGGCCACAATGACGTAACAATGGAAAAGAGAACTGGACTTGTGAAACAGCAATGCGGAGATTTCATATACAACGCACTTGTGACCCCGCAAGAGTCTTTGGTGCCTATCAGTTTACGTTTTGTCCTGAATACGTGCTCTGTAACGGCACCTATGGGTCCCTCAATAGAGAGCTTCCAACATAAAACGATTGATCGAAGATAAAATAGTACGTTTGTTCTCACTGATATAAAAACGACAACTTCAATGAACAGTCAATCAGAAATACTTGCCTTTTTCCACCTTACTTGGCCATGGATTTTAGAAATTTGAAATCTTAATAAAATTGGAAAGGATTGAAAAATACTCGATCAAAGAACTTGTTCTCCTGTAAGGTAATCTTTGAAACGTGAGGGTGAGCATCATTCATACACTTCCTCTACTTGAATTCTTGATTTAGGTAAAATGAGTCAGTTATAAATATAAAATGATTAATTAATGGGTCAAAAAAAAACTCTTATATCTGTTTATTCATTGGATTGATTATAATTCCGATGATTCACACAAAGAAGAAACAGGTGGAGCTTTGAACTGGTCATTTCAAGATTTTAGGAATAAAAATATAGTTAGAGGAAAAAATTTTGTTTCAATCAATAAGAAATAGACATTAACAAAGCAGACAAAAAACATAAATGATATAAAATAATGACCAAATATTTTATCGTTGAACACTTGTAATGCATCAGAATTTTCAGTTATTTTTAAGTCACGGAAGTTTTCACTGTTCTATTGTTGTAAAATCATTTGAGCTTTTAATACAGATAAGAATCCTTTAAGGCGCAAGCGATGAGTCGAAGCTATTCCCTCATAGCGACAGGGCTGGTATGCCAACATTCCTTTCATTGCTTTGCTTTTACCAAGGAAAAACAAATCGGTATGTATCCCCCAATGATGAAAGATAACACTGAAACCCGCGCGTAGTGATCCAAGCTTCAGGTATCCTTATTACTGATATTTACTTGCAGCAATACAATCAACTTCTCCGAACGAATCTCTTCCCTCGAAAAATACCAGTGCACAGATACTCTTCCAAAATGGATAATCTGCCCCAGAAGCTGCCTAAACATAAACCTGCAATAGTTTCGCCATATTGGTGAGAAGGTTGGATAAAAAATTAGAATAATGTATTTATAAGCACGTGTGCGGTTCTGGAATTAGATTGATTACAGGGAGTTCGTATTTTATTCCTCAACTTTAGGAATAATTTTTAGAGTCATTCATAACCTCTTGAAGCTATTCAGCTTCGGTGAGGCTAAAGATAAAAAATAAATTTCAACTGTATATAAGCTGTCATCTGTTTTTTCTGAAAATCGTAGTTACATGAGTAGATACACCTGCAACCTAAAAAATACTGTGTGAGTTGATGGGGGTGACCAATTTAACCAATAAGTGCAAGGACGAAAGGATTCCCCTCTTTACAAGCTTTCGTTCATCAAGGATTCGCCCCTGAATCACTTTCAATGCCTCCCAGGCCTTGCATCTGTAAGGGCATCTCTATCAGCTGACATACTTATTCTACTATACGTATTAACGCTGAATTTCGCGTTAACCCGGTTCCAACCAGAACGTTAACAGCTGTATCGCGCTAAGCTATTCGTAACTCTTAACTTTCACGAGCAATTATAGACTTAAGTAAGAAAGAAGAGATCTTTGGCTAAGAATCATGGACTCTGAGAACACAAAGGCGGAAAATGACGCACAATTATGTTTCAAATCATCTAAGTTAGTACTCTAAAACAATGCTGAACTTTTAATGTCACTCAACACTTTAAGTCTCCTGAAAACGGGACAATTGCCTTCAAGTCGCACTGCAATTGGATATCGATGATAATATTGTAAAAAATCTTTATCTGCATACAAGAATATTAATATATCTATATAATAATATAGATATAGATATAGATATAGATATAGATATAGATATATTAGTTCTCTACGGGAAACTCACTTCAGTTATCTAATTCATTTTTAGGCTTAGTGAGTGTCACAAAAATTTGTCCTGATTTCTATAGGAAAAAAAGAGATTAGAGCATCAAGAAACCGTTATTCCTACGAGTCAATTTCAGAAGTCAAATAGTTGATGTACACAATACAACTATATCCCAAAAGCATTCGGGATTGGCAGTTGAATACTATATACGATTGCTTTTCTCCCTTTGGAATTTTAAGCAGACGTTGCTTATGCGAAAAAACGCATGGATGAAAAGCGACATGCAATGATAAACTAAGCATATAAGTAACGTTTCACACCAGAAAATATAATAAAATACATATTTTTGAACAAGTATTATTTATTTACTTTATTCCATTTTTTGTTTTCCGAAAATGAATTTGCAAACCTAAAATTTGTTTTCCTCTGAAAATAAAGCAAGAAGAATCTGGAAGAGCGCAAAATACTCCCAAAAGGCAGATAATTTCAGAGAAATAATAAAAAGGAAGAACACAAAATAAACAAAGCCTAATGTACTATACACATCGCTTCGAGCATTGCAATAGAATGATTTCAAGAATAAGCACTATCATTTTTCGATATATTTTCAGGATCAACAATATTTCCAATCCAAAAAAAAAGAACTGCAAACACATGTTAGACTTCTTCTTGTCTATGAGTCCAAAAAGGTTTGGTAGAAGGATATCTGCGAGATGGGTTTAGAAAAAAAACATCTCAAACGAAAGATAAAGCAGCACCACCTATATTAAGTTGCAAATGTGAAAGATGTGATGAGCCAAAATAAGATAGCAGTCTGAAAAAAAAACATTCTAAGGAAAATGGGATCCTAAATATGCCGCTCAGTAGGAAGTAAAGCATATCATATAAAATAGCACCCGAAGCAATTCAAAACATCAAAATTGTAAAGTTCACCGTTTTTTTACTGGTATTGTACTAAAAAAAAGGATTAAAATGAAAAATAATAACAAATGAAAGGGATGAGAATAAAAACAAGGAACAGCACCAATGCAGAACCATGAAAAAAAATGGTGAGGAAGAAGGAAAAAACAGAATAAACATGTTTACGAAACTTTTTTTCTATTTTGGATACTGAATTCTCCGTAGGAATAGTAGTATTAATATCCTCCTCTTTCGAAATAACTATATTATATCCTGCCGTCTTGCGACATTCCCAGTATTGATCCCTGCGAAGAGCAAGCAAACACTAAACGAAGATAATACTAATTGCCCACACATAGCGCTCTCCAGCACGCTGTAGGTTTATTATCTATGTATACAGATATAAATATATAGATGCATACCTACGTATACACATATTACGCTGAACTTCTAATCGCCTTAACTACGGCGATGGGGATGCCCTTTCCATTGCTTCTAGCATTATGTTGGCATCCTCCTCAAGCACACCAAGTGCTTCAATTTCTGAAAGCAATGCTTGGTAACCTTCGCATTGATCTCCTTCAAACCAACCGTGGTCCCTCGAGCGACAGAAAAGACATACATGATCGTAACGACAAGTGTTGTTAGGCCTTCGACTTTCAAAGTCACACTTGCCATAGCCGTGGCCAGGGGTTGCTCCACGTCCATTATGCTTCATGCACAACAGCTTTTCAGACTTTTCTTTGACATAGTAATAGTAAGCGCCAAATGCCATGTCCGGAGCAGGAATACCGTGTTGAGCCCACATATTAAAGAGCTCCTGAACACCTTTTATATGCTGTCTAGAGAAACTGATTATGGAAAGGTGTCGTAGTAACTTAATAGCCTTATGCTGCTTAAGGAGCTTCTCAACATCGATTCCCGTCTCAGGTGGCCAACCCTCACTGTGAACAAGGGGTCTAACTTTAAGACGTTTTTCCAATATCTTTCCACGAAGGTGCATCGATTGCGGAGTTTCCCGAAATAAACAAGCAAGTGCCCGATGGGTAACCAATGGAGCCTCCAATGGGGGCCGTTGCACCTTTACGGCAGTAGTCTTGTACAGCGGGGATCTTCCGGGCACCGGCATGAATGCATTCTTCCAAACGGGCAGTAAAGTTCCCGCGCTGGTGAGCTTTGTGTGGCCAAAATTAGCTGAATTATTCACTGAAAGCGGTGGCACAGAGGCTCCTTTGATAGCCTGTGGTCTCACCTGCTTCGATGTATCGATACAATCTTCAGGGTCTGTAGTCCTCGTGCCCATTAACATATCTGTCATTACTGGGTTGATTTCACTGTCGAGACAAAAAGCCTTCATTGGACTCTTGGGCTGTTGCAAGACTGGTCCGCTGGAGATGTCAATATGAACCCCGTCAGCTGATAAGGTGCACCTTGTTTCAGTGACTCCTTTATATTTGATATCAGTTGGTATCATGCGCGCACGAGACTCCGTTAACTCCGAGAAGAGATCTGAAAATAGGGTTTTTTCATCCTTTGCATGACCATTTCTGGGATCGTCATCATAGATGTTGCCGGAAACTTGAGGCACAGCACTGGAAGAACTAGTGTACAATGAACCACGCACCCCTCTTTCGTTATCTTCGCCTTCACCAGTGAGTTGCAAAAAGAGTGCAGTAGTACTTCTGTCCAAAGCAAGTAAACCCATGGCAGGTGTCATAGCACTCTTGATAGCATCCGGTGTTGTCGATTGGCATGTGGATTGGCTATTGAAAGGAGTATTAGTTCTTTTTAATGTACTTGACATATTAGAATATGTCTTCGTAAACTCATCGTCTGCCCCTCCAAAACAGTCATTAGTACCAATCAGGGAAGTTTTTAACGATTCTGTTGAGATATTTATCGACTCGGCGCCTTGGTTTAGTCCGTCGTTACTGCCGTAGTCGCTATCGTTATCATCTAAATCAGCAAGAATAAGTTTTGCCTGCAGCTTGTCATAGTCATCTACAGTTTTGTTGGATGCAGGTGACGTATGATGAACCTCATCTGGCTTATATGATGTTTTAAATATAGAAATATTGTTACTTTGTCCACTCTTGATATCCTCAAGATTCGTTAAGCCTTCTGGTAGCAACAGTGATGATGAGCTCTGCTTACTCATGTGATGCAAGTCTGATCTCGCTAAGTTTATTGCGAGTGGAATACCATTGTTGGCAAGGATATTGACAGATGACAAAAGCGGTCGGCTTTCAAGGTGCAAGTTGCAATCAGGCGGCGGGGGAGGGAGTTGAATGCCCTTAGATGCAGGCATGGCAGAGGATATATTGCCAAACCCACCAGAGACACTGTTCACTTCAGACACTAGTGAATATGCGCCAGCAATGAAAGGTGAATCCACCGTACTCCTTAAATTCAACTCGCTGTTGTCCGCACATAAACTAGAATTTCGCGCTTCTTGGGCAAAGAATACTACGCTAGCATCGGATGTGAGGCTGGGAAAGTCCTCCAAAGGTGTTCTATCAAGTTTTTCTGATTCCCTTAAGCAATTACATCGAAAACAAGTGTTACTTGGATTATTGCTGTCACTTATTATTTGAGAATGCCATTGAACGGGGCGATCATGCATGTGGCATTCGAGAAGAGAACTGGATGCTGCTTTGAAAGAAGAATGGTGTGGCGATGGAATGTAGCTATGTACTTCATCGTCCCGTAGAGAGGCCGTCCTCAGCTGAGCGCTACGAGGTTGTGGAAGAATGGGCTTCCCTTGAAAAAAGCTATGGGGATGAGGATGCTGATCAGATATGCTTACTTTAACGTTGGAGATATTGTTTGATGTCCTAATATTGCGACCGTGGTAACTCGCGCTACTACGCTTCTGAAAAACTGAATTGTTTTGAGCACAGTTGCTATCGTTACTAGTATTGGGATTTTCAGAATCACGACGATACAAAGGCATGTAATGGACTCCTTTAATAAGCCCACAAGTTTCTTGTGTTTGATGTAGTTGTTGATCATGACCTCTTGCATCATCACTACTATTGCTTTGTCGATACTCCGGTGTACGAATCGACATATGTTTACTATTCCATTTCTTTGCTGACTTGCGGTTAGCTTCCATTAAAATGTTCTATTATGGACAGTGGCAAGTACGTAAAAACAAAATATATCAGAGTATAGTTAGGAAATTTTATCTCCTCGTTTTATGTATTCAGGATAAATACAAGATTGGCGTAGGCACCTCTACTCCCTTTCTTCTTTTTGTAAGCAACTGGGAACAAATGCTTGTACTAAATGAACCTCTCGTAGTAAAACTGTTAGATTATACGCTAAAATGAGGAAACGAAGAAGAGAAACTGGATAAAATATATATATATCCATATATCTAAAAGATTATTTTATTGTTCATTATTTTATCTGTTAAATGAAGAATATTTACTAGAATATGATAAAACTAACATGTTTGCGCAGCTATCATCATCAAACAACACACCCTGAGCAATATTATATAATCGATAGGCATGCAAAGCATACATTATTAATATTGTATATATTGTATATATATATATATTTCTGAGAAAGAATTTAAAAGCAGATTTACTTAGGGGCTCTATTTTTTGTTAAATTCAAACACGGATATTTTCCCCTTGTTATGCTTCCATAAACGCTAAGATCATAAACAAATCTTATGGGAAACGAATTTTGTCCATTACAAGCATAAAATTCTATATGAATAGTAGTTATATAAAGATGGCAATATTTAAAAAATCATATCATTATTAAAATACAGAAATCACATGGAAAAAGTTTCGTGACCTTAAATCACGCAAACGAATTGTACTCATCAAGTTAACCTATAAATATGCCTGATATAAGGGTAGTATATGTAAATTGAGGCGCTTGCATATACTACTACCATATAAAGTGAGACTATCAATCTCTTCATGAATTTTTTTCGGGTTAAAGAATTTGATTTGTAAGAATTTAGCAATAATGCTATCCATTTTTTCAAGTACTTTAAAAAGATTGTTATAGTTTTTCTTTTCAGTTAAGGCAGTCATGATAAAAATGATATATATAAATATATAAGTAAAATATTTCGCGAAACATAAAATTGAAAGCCTATAATGATACTCACACTCTTGACAGCAGAAAGTGAATGAAAAGGATCCTAACGAATTGGCTAAATTTTTCCTTTTATGTGTATATACCTTCGACACAGTCTATACTTTTTTCCCTACAACAGCGTTCTTCTTAATCTGTCCAAACTCCACACCACGAGCACGAGAGGCAAACATAAGGGAACTACCAGACTCACTAGCATTGTAGCTCGCTGGGCTAACGCATACAAACATCAATACCTTAGCCTGGCCAGCCATGGAGTCCTGGAGTAAATAGGTAAGAATTGAGTTGCGGAAAGGGATGTGTTTGTTGTTGTTAGCTAAACCGGAAATTACATCTCCCAATGAAGACAAGGACTTATTAATGGACACAGCCTCTTTCATCAGCTGACCCTCTGCACCACTCTTCTCTAGCCGCTCACTCCCTGCAAGATCAACAAGAGAAAGCTTACCGTAGCTCTGCATGTTGGTTTGCCTGTTGGTGGTGCGCACAATTACATATAAGATCATGTGTGAGCGTGATGAATATTCGTTCATGTTCGTTGTTCCCTCGCTACGGTGTTTAGATGCTTTTTGCATAATGTTATCGATCTCGCTCGCAGAACTCACAGTTAACTCCTTCAAATTAGTCACATAGGTGCCATAAGGGCCACCTTGCTTGACTTCGTAGGTAATTCCGGCTGCCTCACTCCGGCTCACAAGCAAGTCACGAATCTGCTCACAATAAATTTCTAGAACAGAAACATGCACAGTTGAGACCTCAGTTTCCTTTCGCTCTTCAATGATCGTAAAAAGCCTCTCAAGAGCGCGCGTGTTAATACCCTTCGCATCACCACTATCCCCACCCATTGTATAGGTCTTTCCACTACCGGTCTGCCCATACGCAAAGATGCACACGTTGTAGCCATCCACAACGCTATCAATGAGTGGTGAAGTATCCTCAAAAACTTTGGTCTGGGATGCATCTGGTGGGTACACTTCGTCGAACTCGAAGAGCTTCGGACGACCAGAAGAATCAATAAACCCTAGCTCATCCGTAGCAGGGTAGCTCATGATATCGGTATAACCACTTTGGATTTCCTTGAGCAACATTGGACGCACACGACAGTACACACGAATGCTGCCCTTTAATTCCTGAATAGTATTGTAGTATTGCTTACGAAGCTTCATTTCCTTCTTGTACAATTCCTGTGTCCATTCCAATGCCTTCTGATCTGCTGAACGATCTTTCTCAGATGCTTGCATAATGGAAGCTAAGACACTAAGCAGCTGACCTGAGTAAAACTGACACTCCCTTGTGATATCAAGGTTGCATTGCTCCTTTAATTTACGAAGGTCACGACTAATGGCCTGTGTGCAATCCCGCATAAGAGAAGCTTGTGCTAGAGAAATCTGCTGGCTCGCAGGTGCAGATGAAGCCGCTGGCGGAGACGCTAAAGCACTGGAGACCCCGACCCCCTTCTCCAAATTGTCTACGCGCTCCGCATACTCGTTCAAAAGGGCGACAGTTTCTCTGCTCTTGGCTTTTGCATCCTTGTATTTGTTTTGCAACTGCTCGTGCTCGCGAAGCAAGTCATCGTATTGTCGTCTCAGTTCTTGTGCTACGGCATGCTCGCGATCGATAGTTTGTTGCATCTCCTGCTGAGCATTTACTATAGCCTGGCCAGTAGTCATTGGATTTACACTCACCTTTTGACGAATGCGGCGTTGATGTTCGTCATCATCGCTATCAGGTTCTGCAAGGTCCTCATCAACAGCACGCTGCCTTGCAGCCTCACCCTCACCAAGATCCACACCAGTCATAGCCTCGTAGAGCTCCAGAGCTACAGAGAATCCTTCTATCAGAGACATAAGCTCCGGTGCAATGCGCTCGTGGATACCGGATTCCAGCATTTGCATGCACTGGTGTTTGTCATCCCGACACGATTGAGCAATATCACTGTTCTCCAGAATCTGGGGATGCTCAAGACCGTATTCCAACGACGCCAAATCACCCTGAAATGCCAAAATCATAGTCTCCTCGTTGTTTATAATGTAGTTGGGGTTGACGTTGACATTGTCAAAATTTTGCATAGCCACATTTTGTGGTGGCTGTAGGGTGTGTGAAGACATGGACTTATCGTCAATGTCCTTTTCAAGATCACGGTACGGTGCTCCGAGTACCTTGCTATTTGCGAAACGATGCAGGAGGCGCTCGTGGCCTTTTGTGTGGTGCCGCTTGTACCACATAATGGTCATCGTGATAATTTTGTCACGCACTTGTGGGACTTGTGTAGTTTTGGCCACCCTAAAAAACCGTTCCGTCCACTTCTCCGATGCAAGAAGTACAGTAAAATAGGGACCACTGTTCTGAACGCATTTATCCATCAAAGCCAACATCCGAAGTTGGATTGATGAATGAGCGTGCTTGAAGTTGTCTTTAATTATATCAAGCACCACTTCTGCGTTTCCCTTCCGAATGTGCTCAATAAGCTTGAGGGCTGATTGTTGGTCGCCATCAGGGTTCTTACTTCTTACCCACAATCGAATAAGTTCTAAAATTTCATCAGAAGTTGCATCAGCTTTGTTCACCCTAGAATCTGAAGGTGGGAGAAATAACTCCATTCTCAAGTGAAAGCCACTAAAACAAGTTTGATTACTATTGTTATCAGTATCACTGTATAACTGAATTTGGGAGAAAAATGAAGCAAGTCAATAAGCAAATATATTGATGAAAACCTGAAGAAAGTTACCCTAACTAAAGAAAACGATAGAAGTTGACAGATAAGTATATTAAAAGCACAGCATTTTGAATGTTGGAAGAAACTACTAATATATGATAACTGTGTAGCAGATATATATAAATATATATAACAAAAACATTTTTATGTCAATATTCTCAGCGTACATCGACGCAATAATAACGCTACATATACATGTTTATTTTAAACAACAGAAAGGGAAGGCAAAACAAGAATAATTCTAGAACCTGAGAAATTACTAACGTAAAACGAGCAAGCAAAGTCAAGCAGCAACAAATACAAACACAAATAAAAGTCCTGCACGAGGGAATGGAATCATTCAATTATACTCCAATCATCAAAATGAAACTGGAGTTGCTTTATTGTGCCTTAAACAATTCATGAAGTTTGTAAAAATAATACCTACGATAGATGATGATAACTATTGCCTCTTTGAGTTACTTATTGAGGCAAAATATTATTTAATGCTCTGCCTCTTTCTTGAATATGTGGATAAAATCTAGAGAATTTCACCAGGTAGACTCTGAATCCTTTGCCTCTTCACGATAAAGCGAAGGTAACCCTTTGTAGATGCACATTTTTAGAAAACCCAAAGCTATAAAGCAGTGAAAAAAGGAGCTCATATAAAACCTGATTGAATTCCCAGCAGGAGCTCAGCAGGATAGGGATGAATTTGGAGGAAAAAAACATCCCCATCATTTTTTTACTAGGAAACGGTGTAAGATTCACAAAAGAAAAAGAGAATGAGCTAAGAGTGTTTATCGCATTTAAATATATATATACAGCGTAATCGATTTGGAAGTCTATTCAGTCTTGAAAAAGGATGAAGAGGAAAAAAATGGCGACAAAAAATGACTGAATACAAGTCCATAATATTTGTGTCGTTTTCGATTTCCATGTCTAGTTCACAGATACAGATCCGTCGTATTTTCGAGGATTATTGGGGCATCCAGGTGTACTAGCCAAATGTCTCCGCCATTCGCTTACACTATTCGGAAACCGTTTGTGGCATAACGGGCATACACTATGCGTACTAACGGCCTCAATGCAATTCTTTGTTGCTAGATGGCTTTTTAAATCCTCAGCACGCACAGCTTCACGGCACCGGGGGCACTCACGTACAAAGCGCCGTCCTTCACATTCACTCACTAAATGCTCCTGTAATGTGCAGATTTCAGTCACCTGATCGCACAGAGGGCACGGGCATAACATAGGACAGTAGTAAACGTAGTGAATATCTAGCTTTTCATCGTTGAAATCACGGTTGAATACCCCACAAAATTGACAAGTGTGGGACAACGCAAATTCGGTCTCTGTGATTGATGTATCCACTTTGAGACTTTGTAGGAATGATTTGTTATTCCCTTTATTCGTTGTTATGGCTACTTTCCTCCTATCCGACGTTGGTGCACTCCGCTTGGTAGAAACAGAGTCGAACTTACCTTGTGGAATGCCTTGTTCCTGATCAAAGTCTCCAGGTTTATTCATCATCTTGAGATGTTTCTTAACTAGTGCCTGCTGCGCTGGCTTGATGGCGTTAAGGTAAGATTTGCATGTAATTCCATCTAATGTAATAAGCTTCGCGAACATTTGTATTCCCGCACTTCTTATATCACCATTCGAATTCTGCAAGCTAGGGAGCACTACAGAAGAAACCAAGGTTTGGGAATCAAGCGCATGCGGGTTCAAATTGAAATCAACACCGTAGTCATTCACAAATATGGATAGTAATTTAATACATGACAAGAGTGTGCGGGAGTTGATCATCTTTTTGGATTCTTTCTCCGAGGGAATCAGCGATGATACGACTTTTTCTGGGCCGTAGGATGACCGTGCGAACGACATGATAACACCCTCGGCGCTTTCGCGTATTCGGATATTCGTGTCACCGAGACGGTTGACCAAGCCTTCCAACAACTTGGAGACTACCGTGCTCAGCTGCGATACGGGTGGTGCTCCTTTAAGCTCACCGTCTATCCACTTTTGTAGAAACTCACAAGACCTAAAAAACATTCCACTGAACGGATCCTCTGGACCACGGCCTTTTGATGCCAGATAGGCTAATAGTGTTTCAACCGCAGTGCTAGTGTGGGAAAGAAGAGCACCATAGCCGTCCTCTGACAAAACCCCACGCAGCGCAGCCTCACGTAGCTGACCACGACGTGATAGAAGGCAAGCCACTGCATAAATACCAAAGTCATCCTCGTACTTTTTGCCTTCTTGTGCTGTTTCGCCTGATAAAAAAGAAGGTGCCAGTTGACCCACCGACAGACCAGCGATTACTGCATTAAGTGCCTTCTCCCACGATTGACCATTTCCATCCAAGGGAATCCCCGTTCTCTCGCCTGCGTCATGAGTGTCTATACGGCGATTGTCGTTCTTAGCTGGGGCCATAGGCCAGCTAGTATCATCCCACTGCTCCAATGAATCATAATATCCCTTTCCACCGACGACTATGTCATCATGGGAAGCAACCTTAACCGCAGTCACTTCCTTGGAAGGCATCAGGGGCTGCACTTCCGAGATTGCTGTATTAAGACTAGCTCCACAATCGATAGATTTGGCTCTATCATTATCCGGTTTAATTCTAGGACTATTGAATTGCATTCGAAAGGTATCATCATAATTATCACGAACAGCGTGGGGGGAAGGCGCTAGAACCTGAGAATTCAAATGCTGTAATGCGTCTATTTTCTTTTTGAGCTCCTTTGCAAGTTGGTAGTCCTCTAGTTCGATAGCCTTAGACTTCTCTTGTCTCAACTGTTGCATACGTGATTCAGAATATTCTTCTTTTAGTCTTAATTTTAGTGCAGATGCTAAGTCATAATCCTCCTCAACAACAGCACGAGCCTTTAGTGTTCTCAGCTCATCCACTTGTTGCAAACTAATTGATGCACTAACGCTTCCAAATGAGGAGATGCTGTTGCCGAAATCTGCCATTGAAATGGGCACCATTTCATCAAGGGGAAGTTCATAAATTTCACCAACTGGCACGAGTTCACGGCTTGGTCTGTCTTTGGCCTTCTGATGTTCGCTAAATTTTTGTACCACACGGCCGTGAGCCGTGATAGCAACGAGCCCAACTTTCTGTAACAGATTGTATGCGTTGGGGTATGGCCGCATAAATAAAAGCTTCAAGTACGTACACGTACGTCGGACATCAATAACCTTGAGCTCTCTTGTCATGTATTTGCTCGCCTCATTGCTGCTAATCTGAAGATGAACAAGATCAATAAACTCAGCTGAATCGTATGGACCTCGCACACCACTCTTCAAATCTGCTTCAGTTGCGTCAGCTATATATACCTTCACAAGAGAAGGTATTTTGCTTTCGTGTAATAGTAAGCGAACACTATTAATAAATACTTGTCCCTCAAAGCTGAAACCAAGCTCTTGTGGATAAGAACACTTTTTACTTGACTGCCACCCGCATGAAAATTTTGTTTGGCTTCTAAGAGACATCGCAGGATACGCCTCATCTTCAGAGCTTAAATAACAAAGAGAGAGCCTCAAGCGTGGGCCATACTTCGCCTCTCGAGTCAACATGAAATGGAAACCTTAGAATGAGGAAAAAAAAACAAATACCGTTGGAAAATGAGCTTTGCAAAAAAAAGGGTAAGAATTTATATAATATATTATGATGCAATTACTATACTCGATAAAGGATAAAAGGGAAAAAAGACATAAACTCTTCCTATGCACTCATATTCTTCTCCATTTCAAGAAAATACAGATTAAATTCTCTTATTTGTAAATATTATGCTTTAAACGTCCCTTTACTCTTGAATGACGTTACCTGATTTAAGTTAATATTATTAAACGTTGCTTATTAGCTCAAAGAAGCACTTCATAATGTATATAGATATATACAACATGTACCCCAAAGTTTTTAAATATATATTGTCCATCATCGTATTTCAAAAAAATACCGTAGTCCAAGAGATAAATTACTCACTTGTGTTATCATCATCATCAGTCTTTAAAGCTGAATCATCCTCATACCCTTCCTCTTTATCCTTAAAATCATTGGCCTCTTCCTCCCCGTTGTCAGAGTTTTCATCTAGATCATATTGGGGCGGCACAATGTAATCTGGATCCATCTCAATGACAACATTTGGTAAGAAAGTCAGGATATCCTTTAGAACCTTCGACAGCTCGTGGATGAGACCATTCAAGTATTTCTCACCTTCGTATCCATCTATAGAGGCCAGCTTGTGGCCTCCGCAAAGAGCAAGATTAAATATCGTCGAGTCATCGCTAACTTGCTCAAGTGTGACGGCTTGCTTACCGGGAAAACGCATAACTGCCCATGGGGCATGTTTTCCTTCCCAAAGCTCTCGAATAAACACTCTAGATCCCAAACGAAGGATATTGTGCGTGTCTAGTCGTCCTGCCCTAAGGTTCCTTTTATGATGTCCATGCGTTGGTGTCTGGAAAGAGGAAATGCGAACAAGCTTGTTAGGAGTCGCGTTGCTGTAGGTAGCATCCAATAGGGTGTCTCGACTTCTGTCCTGAGCAGATGTGAAGACCACGTTAGCAGTGAGTGAACTGCTAGACAATTTTCCCATTGTACCACTTCCCATCACAAATAAAGGAGAGACATAGAAACCCTTTACACGACGCACTGTGCGCCCTAAGTTAAGGAGAAATCGTTTGGCAACGACAAAATTGTTCTTATGACTACTAGAGCCGTTTTGGGGAGACGTGGGTAAGGGCTGACAAAACGCCTGGGAAAGATTCAGCTTATCTAATATACCTTCGAACAAGACGCAACCAATCACTTCTGGCTCAGAAATCTTGTCTATGAAAGTCACGGGACGAAAGAACACATCACCGCCAGTGGCATTCTGTAGCTCCTTACGAATTTTAATATCCTCTGGAAACTGGACCAGAGTCACAGCCTTTGCGTTGGGAAGGGCAAACTTTAGATACAGGTTCTCCTTATCATCATCTGAATATCCTTTAGTCATCTGTAGTTGCGCAGCCCTCATGGGAACCACACTAAGACTTGTATCGTTTACTTCGCTTGCAAGAGAACGGCAGAGACTTCGTCGACCTGTGCATGGTAACCCAATGACAAAAGCACATATCTTGTTATCCAAGTTCGACCTCATTTTTTTTGAATGACACCCCTCACTCTGGCGGAATTGATGGAGAATACGAAGGAGGTGTCGCCCGGTTCGCTCATCACGAACGGAGAAAGGCGTAATCGTACTCACAAGATTCTCCCCAAATCCTTGAGGATATCTAGCCTTCAATGAAGTAGCTAGTAAACAAATCTGAGTTACAACAGCCTGAGAAGAAACAAGGTCTACTTTTGTCAAGACAAACAAAAGCAACACTTTTCGCTCACCCCTGTATGATTTAGCGGCAGTAACAATCGAATCGATGAGTGTCCACGGAATTGCCTGTACAGCACAACGTGAGTCCAATGTGATGATATATGCTGCAGAAGGGACCTCGAAAGAGCTGCACTCAATATTTTCACTCTCACTGGAAGGGAAAACTAAGGCTGACAATGATCTCAAAAACTGAAACTTAAAGTCATTTGATCTCAACATCGGTATAAACAAAACTTGTCGGCGGTTACTTGGCTTTGCATCAGTAACAATCACCTGTGATTGATCCTCATTCCCATTGCTAGCTTTTCGGTGCTCTCTTTTCATAACGCGGGCATTTTCCCGAGTTTTTAAAACGCGATTTAGAATGGTCTCCTTATCGGGATGCACATTCGACACTTTTAGAGCTAGCCTAGCTAGTTCATGTGCTTTTTTGCCTCGATTAGGACCAAGACCCTTCTTTTTGAGTGCCTTGGCTGCTTTCCGCAGATCCCGCTTGTGTTCTCGCTTTTTGCGCTCAATTTTGTGACGCCTTTTTGATGACACACGCTTTGATGGTGCAGCTCTTAATTTTGGCATTTTCTTAATATGCTTGGAAACTAAAGCTAAAAGGGGTCACTAGAGTAATAATAAACGCGAGAGAACTAAAATTTAGAAATTTTAAAGAAATGAGTCACGCAGAAGTACAACAATAAGTGCATGTATACGAACGGAAGAAATTTTGCTCCCATCGTTAAAATAAACAACACTCAGTAACTAAACAAAAAAAATCATTATGAATAGTTCACTCATGGTAATCACTTTGGTTTCCCATAACTATAATCGGTGCAATAACTAAAAGAAACAAAAATCCTACGATACTCTACACTATCACTGCTCTAAATTTTAGCTATTTTAGTCTTTGGTATTGCTATTTTGGCATACTATACTATTTTCAACCAGTAAAAACACTAAAAAGAATATCGGTTTGCTAAAATAGACACCTAAAAACTTGCAGATATACCTAGACATGTTATTCAGCCCGATGTTGATATCTCTTTTCCGTCAAGACCTAATGTAGGCTGATCCACACCATCAGGATAAATAATCACAGGTACATCAAAAAGAAAATTAGTAAGATCAACCCCGGCAAGATGCCTCTGTACATCCTCCACGGAATTTCGAGCATTCAGCACGTCTTGATTTGACTTGATTAGCTCATTCCTCAACTGGTTAGCAAGGGCAACATCCATAAGTCGGTTAAGAGATCGATATAGTTGAACCATTCGCGGTGACGAATAACGTCGCTCAGCACTATCAGCTGCCCGAAAGCGCTCTGGACGATTCACATACTGTTCCCACTCAGCAATAATACTATCAAAAAAAGAATTTTTCCCATCGATGGTACCACTCTGAACCCAGCGCTTCATCCGCATACAGCGTTCATCCCACTTGTGGCGACGGTCATAATTAAAGTCTTTATGATACCATGGAAGATTACGCGTCTCAGGAACATCAGGGTCAAATTCAAGATAAAAATCTGCCCATGTTTTCGCCATTGGATTCATAGTCTTGTCCAATTTTACTTTCAGAAAAATATCACTAGTATAAATTGCGTAGTTCACGGTGTCTGAAATCCACTCGTTAAATGCTTTCTCTTGAGCTATCCCGATTGGTACCTTTGCCCAGTTATATTCTAGCGGTGCGAGTAGATACCGAAGTCGAAAATAAAACGCATCCGTCTTCCATAGACGAGGGTTTGGCATTTCCCGCATAGCTTGCTTCAGATACTTTTCATATTCTTCAAAACGAGTAGAATAAAAATCATCGTCTTGTCGAGCTAGCATTCGCTCTGCGTTAATCCGGTTAGATTCTGGATGTGTTTCACGAATTAGGTATTGAAAAAGCTGCTCACGATTATGTGTATACAAGTCTTCCATAGATGTTTCCATTATGGTTTCTATGTCTTTGACTAATCGACGATAACCCCGTCGATTCTTGCTAGCATAATGTTTCGGCTGATTATATCCACTTTCTACCCATCCTTGTAACTCTCGTCGAGCATTTTCACGATCAGGATCTACATTTTTTATGTACCAACCTTCATAATCTAAATTTTTCTCCCAATAATTTGTCCCATCCGCCTGGCCTTTCTCAAAATATCCCTTTGATGCACTCCAGGAAACAGGAATTCGATCAGCAATTTTTTTAAACTCCTTCTCACACTCCTGACCAAGCCAAGACCAGTGCCCATCATATGGGCCTTCACGTCTTTGCTCTTCGCCATTCCAAAAATCTCTCTGGTCATTTATTTGGCCCTCCTCTTTTACATACTGCTTCATGAGCTCATCCATGCTTTCATACTCAAAAAATTTTTCCACAGTAGCTCGAGGACGGCGGAACATAACGCATTCTTGAAACTCCAACCACCCATTGTATATCAGATGACGAATAGCATCAGGATCACGTGTGTGTTGATTCTGCAAAAAACGCTCACGTATTTTACCTTTCATTTGTGGAAGAGGAATAAGCAACCAGTAGTAATGCTTTACCATTGGCAAGGCTTTCAAGATTGATCGATATAGTGACTTCATGGCAGCCTTCAATTCCCAGCCAAGAACACTGTTTGCAAGCAACATGGCATTACCCTCTCTCTTTCCCGTTGCAGATGAATAGTCATAATTTGGATGATGATCGTGAAAAGGTGGTGATGGTACGATGTCACGGTAATCCACCGCCTCCTTATCGGCTGGTTCGCGCTTGTATTTGTTATACCTCATAGCCCCAGGACCTCCTGAAAAATAAGGAGCATTCTCAAACTTTCCCAGAGAAGTATCAAACTCAGGGAACCTTATATTATCAGATCGATCATTCGGCTCATTTGAAGACTTTGCTTGGCCGCTAGGCAATTCAACAAACCCGTCATGACGTTTCTCGAAATAAGCGTTCTCTGGTTTCTTGGAGTACAAGCCTGGTCTGTTATCGCTTCCATGAGCAAAGCGAACTGGTCCATCATAGTCTTTTTCCTCTTCCAAGAACATTTCATTTTTTTCCCCACTTTTATGAAACGGTTGATTAAATCCACCAATGACCCCTGTGTTGTGTGAACGGTAGCAACAAAGGAGTGCTGGAAAACCGCGCAAGTGATGTCGAGGAAGCATTTTAAAAATTTCCTAAGTTTTTATAGAAGCACCAGGAAGGAGAAGAAACTAAGTGGCTAAATTACAGAATGTAAAATCAATGAAAATTTTCAAGCAAGAAAAATATTTCTTATTTCTATCACTTAAAAAATGCTCAAAAATAAATAATTACTAAATACAATGATACAGAAGAAAGTGTCGAAGGTATAACTTAATCATATTAATGAACGTAAAAAAAAAAAGAATGACTAAGAACAGAGCAGCTCAACGTGTGTACAAGTGTATATTTTTAGGATAGCAAGAATGAATTTAATAAATTGATTAAAAAATACGCTTTGATAATAAAAATCATTCCAATACAATTTAATGGTGAAAATACACATGCACATTTAATAGCATTTGCCGAGAAAATGACAAAGAAAGAAAGACAGTTAATGCGTATGGCTTTTCAAATGCGACCTTATATACGAAGTTTCTATTAATCGTGTTAGAGCAATCTTTGTAGGGAAAGAAAAAAGTCAGACTTTATTTTGATCTAAATACAGGTGTTAAAAAAAAAAAAAAATCATATTCTTACATTATTTGTTTTTCGTGAATGCTTCACGTAAAATAGTCGGCAATTTTGGCCTAAATAACTCTTAAATAATGTTTCATAAGGAGAATATGCAAACCATAAAATTAGAAAAAAATAGATGCTTTTATACATGAAATAAATGTTACGACTCCATTTTTTTTCTATGTTTAAATTCGACACTATAAGCTTGTATAATAAAAAAACTTCTAATTTTTTCATATATATATATATATGAAAAAAAAGTGATAAGAAAAATTCAACCAAGAAAAGGGAGTCATCATGTTGCATGGTCGGATTCAATTACATGTCTACGTGTGTGCTATCAGTGCGCAGTAAAAACAATCTTCTTCATTACATAATAAGAGTAAACAAATACATTTCTGCCAATATAGTCCTGTAAGCGTTAGAAAGAAAACACTTAATAAAATTTCCTTTAGGTAGGCACATTAAACTAAAATTTAACTTAACCTCTGGAGTGTTTATTATGCTATGAATATTCATAAAACATAGTATTTAATTCAAGGGAATAGGCCGGTTTAACTGTTAAGGAACACCGTCATGGTTTAATATTTATGTGCTCGCTACTATAAGAATTGATAATAAAAACGCAAAGCAAGCATAGCTTATATAGAGCAATGAGAAACTGCTCATATGTCACAACTTTAAGTTAATGAATAGCTTTCATATATAAAAAACCAGCTGGTCAGGTACTGAAAAAAACAATATAGCTAACTACAAAGCGAAATACCCAGAAAACAAAAACAAAGCCATTCCAAATAGATAAATATATACATACATACATATTTATTAATTATGGAAGACATGCCTTCCCCATCCTTAAAAGACTGCCCCCCACACACATTCACCGCCCCAGAACCAAGAACCCCCAGGTACACTACAATTACTTAAGCCAAATTTTTTAATGGAGCTTTAAGATTAAACTTGAACGTAAGGATAAAAACTTGGAGCCCCCACATTTCATAAAAAATATAAAAATAAATTTTTAATACAAAACACTCATTAGAAAACGAAAATATAAGTGGAAATAAAACAATAATAACACTAAAGTAGAAACCATGGGGCCCGGCCATTAAAGCAAAAAAGTTTTGGAAATAAACCAACATAATAAAGTTAAAAGGGAATAAAAATTAATTCGACTAAATAAATAAAAATAAACTCACAAATAGCCGTGGAATGCGCATAATTGATATACACACGCTAAGCCAAAATTTCACGCCCATCACCCTACAAAAACACCATAAACTTAACAATATTATGTTGAGAAATTGCTACTTCATTATTAAAGCTCATTAAATGCAAATATAGTATGGTAAAATGTATTACAATTAATTATTAAACATTTTATAAAAAATAGCCCTATCCCATATGCACATATTGGCCACAAGCGCGTTGATCGAATACGCCAGTCGAACCCGGCACCGGCGATAAGCAAAGTCCTAAAATAGAGAGCTATTATAAACAGTTAAAAAAAGATAAAAGTAATCTAAATAACAACTCAATACGACCAGCTCAAAATATAGATTTTTAAATAATCATTTTTATGGATATACATATTAAATGGAATAAAATTTATATAAAATAAACTATTATCAATACCAAGCACTATAGAATAAAAAATAAGTAATTTCAATAATTTATTACTTTTTGGAACAAATAATTAGGATAATTAATCATATAGAGGCCCCAGATGAGGAATTCAATCGAAGATGCTTTAATGAAATATGTTGGAAATGATTTAAATTATTATAAAAAAAGATTAATTATTATAGTTTATTTATTCTGAGCATGTATTACTATTATTATAAATCGGAATCTAGCCCATGCGACCGCCAAAGGAATAAATTTGACGTAATAACTATTTTATAAACAAACCAAGGATTGATAGACTTAGTATCTATTTTACTAATTTTATTAACAAATTCACATCCATATAGAATTTACAAATAATATCAGAAACAATCATTATTAAATATTGCGGTGGCATGATTGAACATTCATAATACCCAGTATTATCGATCAAGAATATGAAAATAGTTTACTCAAAAAAAAAAAAATCCATTACGATTGTTTATTTCAAATAAAGATTTCAAATAGATATAATTCAATTAAATTTAATCCCAATTATATTATTAATAGTGATAGTAGAGATAATTTCTTAAAAATAACTTAATTCAGATGAATAATTATATATTAAATTCAATTTTAGTATTATATATTATTATTTTACATCAATTATTTTATGAAATATAATATTCATAATTTACTATAATTCACTGATTTTTAAAATAAATATAGAGTTATATAATCAATTATTTTTTGATATTTTTCGTCCGAGCGTTGTGGTGAGTCATCAATTTTCGTACAAATTAGGCGGCGCGCATTTACGTGAACTTTCAATAATGAGAAAAAAATATAGTTAACTACGACTTTATTGGCTTTCCTATCATAGTTATACTGGATCATTGGTTGATTTTTAAGCTATATGTCTTTCCATTGAATTATTTAAATGTGATATTTTATGTATTTGTTCTTATGTTTGTATTCTCAAAAAATAGGCGTGGCTTTTTTTTAATGATTTATCCGGGGATAAAATAAATAGCATTAGTTAATGGCATTTATGAGTTAATATATTTAGCTCTTTTTCTGTGAGGTTGGCGGCCAAAAAAGGCAATTCATATGTATTATTTAAACACAATTGGCGAAAATTTCATTAATTTTTACTTTTATATATTTTCCCCTTTTTTTTCATAGTAGTTATGGCACTATAATGAATATTTATATGCTCGTCGTTGTTTTAACTTTAATAAAAAAATTCTATTTATTTCATCACATAAAAAGGTATTGTTAACATTTTTGTCAAAAATTTTAATATTGTTTAAAGTTTAAATTAGATTTATTAAAAAGTATTTTATTAGCGGCATTGCTGATGTATGTGCAACTAAATCTTTCTAGGCGCCCGTGGCGCGGCCGGTAATGGAATCCCCCCTGGATCTTCGTGGGGCGTGGTCTTATACTTTCTATCCTTGATTTTATCTTATTTATTCAAATAGTATACGCGTATATTTATTATCTATCTAAAATTTGGATGCACGACATTTATTATTATCAATTGGTTGTATTTTTTTGGTTCATGTCCTTCAATTATGTTCTAATTATGTTTGATGGCACTTTTAAAAAGGGTTATAATGTTTTTATCACTAGTATTTTATATATTTTGTAGCAAAAAATCACTCTTTTCTTTTAGAATTGGTAAAAGTACTAGCTTGTATTGCGTCCTTTTTTCAACACTTTTATGCTTCATCTAATGTTTAGAATTTTTTTTTGAGATGACTATATAATAGTTTCAACTGGAAATTTATTTTAATAGAAGGTGGGGGCTATTTTTGTTTTACTATAATAACTATTATATATATATTTATCTTTTTAAATTTTTCCGTATCCCGGTTGCCAGCCAGGGGGTTTCGCCGAGCTAAGGGCTGGCAGGGCCCACGCCCCAGGTACATGGGCGGTGGTTTGTTTTTGGAGCCTTATCATGCATGTCGAGGCATTTTGATCTGCCATGTGGACTCATGGCATTCATTGAAAAATAAATGATCAACCCTAGTGTATTTGGTGCTTGTGTGGAATTCTCATACGTTGCTGCTGTTTCCCAATATAAAACCTTTACGAGACTGGCTGGCACACCCTAGCACGTGATCATTTCCGGCGTGTGTAGTTTAGTTTCACCTGAAATATATTTTTATTCAAACAGAGTGACACGTGATGTGGGATATTCATTTCCTTTCTTCAAGTTTGTCCTTCTCTCTTCATGCTGAAATATTAAGCATCGGATATTGTTAATTTTGCTGCTAATAGTTTTGAGAGGTTTCTGCTTTGTAATCATTGTTATTCCTTTTCTATTTGTTTTGAATCAAATAACGATTTCCAAAAAAAAAAACCATTGCTCATTATGTTGAGGAAATCTCTCTATAATATTTTACATATTTTGACTGTAGATCTGCGTACATGTAGGATTTTCTCAAAATATTGGCTCATTTGGTATAGATAGAGCATGAATATTTCCATTATTGATCCTTTCTATATCATACTGCGTTCAACCAAGTTAATATGTGAAAAAATATTTTAGAAGCATTTTACGCATGAAAAAAGACAAAGGATGAAAATATATTCAGTTTAAGGAATTTGGTAAATGTGCTTGGATGTATCCTTTGCCTGGTAATTTTTTTTGTTAAAATAGCTCAATTAAGAAGGTGCACAAACACTCTTTCTACTCAAGCCATTTGACACTTACTTATGGAGTATTTGCTTTTTTCCCGCTTAAGTTTAAATGTGAAAATTTTTCGATACCTATCTCGGCAAATGGGGTTAAACAAAAATTATCAAAAAGCTTTGCATTAATGGTTTATTTACTCAATCGAGTTCAATAACATTTAGGAAACATGCATTATGACCTCTGAATTTCGAGGAATCACAACGAAATTGAAGGATATGCAACTGTCTGCTTAATGATTAATTAATGTTAGACTATGATGCAATAACAATCCTTAAATTAGTTGCCTAGTATTTTACACATAAACAAGTTCACAGGAATAAACATCTGCATAATTTATATCAATTACAAAAAACCGCATTAGTTCAAGCAGGAAGCAACCTAATAATAATATTCAAGTGAACATTCTTATACCCATGGATTAAAGTATTTTAATTTCGTTTATTTTTCTTAAGGGTTTATCTTACTCAATTATTATTTTAGCGCATTGCGCTTATGCATTCAGAGCTGCGATATACACTATTTTATTTATCCCAATTCCCTCTATTTTATAGATATTCTATCAACAATTTTTTTTTTCTAAATCTAGCTTTTCACGGATTTTTTTCCAAAACAGTAGTGTTTCTGATGAAATTTCTGAATGTTTGATTGGCTCGATTTTTTTCGAGTTTTAATTATGAATTCGACATAGAATAGTAACTTATTGACGATATTACATAATGTTCTAGTGAATCAATACTCGTTACTTTTTAAAATTTTAGTTGCTAGTTGATTATGCTCAACATTTTTAATATGTTTGAAACTCTACTTATTATGTGACACCTGTACAATTGTCATTTTCATGATAATCATCGACCCGTGTTTTTTCCTATATCCCATTTTTTTGTGTAAATAACATTATGTAAACATAATATTATGCACCACTTGCTATTGTTAATATATATATGAATATTATTGAATATTTGTTTCATCGAACTGCCATTCATAAAATACCATTAGTAAATTATTATAGTTCTGTTGGCCTTCAGTTGACGTGAGGCTTAGGTAGTCCTTTGTGTTTACGTAACTTATTATGAATTGTAAAATTTTGAATATATGTTTTTAAGTCTATTTAGCTAAGTTCCTCTTTGCCAAAGCGCTATGCAATTTAAAAATGCCGAAAAAATACCATCACCCGGTTGCGAGAAAGACAAGTTTAATGGAGGAGACCGACTGAACTTTTCCCCAAATTTCGGTGATTCACTAGACCCAGATGTGGTGGACAGCGTTTCTGAACTGTTTTCTCACCAACAGTGGTATGCTAATGCAAATTTGTGTTTCAGAAATAATCCTGAGACACAGTTTGGATTCTTTTCATCGTTTTCTCGTCAATGCCAAGATTCAAGTCCGAGTAAAATTTCTATTGTTTACGATTCCTGTAACTGGTCCTTAATCGATATTGCTAGTGGAAGATATTATGCTGATAGTTTATTAGACTGCCGTTGTTTTGACGAAATGGATGCACTTATGGATCCTGGAATTCGGAAATCAGCAACCTGCTTGCAGAGGGCACTATTTAAATCGATTAAAAAGGGCAGGTTTCCTAGACCAGATCGTTTGTCCAAATCACAGGCCAAATATCAGACCAGCCCATTGCGTATTAGCCTGGATGAAGAGAGTGTTTTCGAAGTTACGCAATCTGGCTGCAATCGCATCTATCATTTTTTCCACATTAATCCAGTTCGAGGTGTCTCTGTTGATTTATTTTTTGAAACTGTAAATAACTCATTTCAGCACAGCAAAAACGACATAGCGAACACATTTTGTTACTATTTTCCAATGATGCGTGTTAGTGGCTCTGTTACTATATCTGGATATACGGAGGATGTGATCGGAGAGGGATGGTACAATCGTGAGTTTGGTGGCTTTTCATTTGAAGTGAACAAGCCGGTACATAGTGCATATGGCTGGCTCTCGTTACATCTATCTGACGGATCGCAATTCAGTCTATTTCATGTTATGGACTATGAGGCAACCAAAACAAAAGAATGCTTTGGAGTTTACATTTCTAATGGCAAAAAACATATGTGCTCAGATATTTCTCTTGAAATAGAAAATAGGTGGGTCAGTTTAGTAACCTTCATTGTATATCCTTCACATTTTTCAGTAAATGTTCCTTCGATAGGACTCAGTTTTAAACTCTTTCCCACGTTCAGTGCGCAGGAATTCAACACTGTGATGATGCCAGGGGGTGGTTTTTTTGAAGGCTGCATGGTCGGAAAAGGAATAGTCATGGGAAACAGCATCAGTTTGAAGGGTTTTTTAGAATGTAAAAACTATATTGCCTATTCTGAACTTATGGATTTACTGAATATTGCCAGTAAATATGTTCGTGGCATATTAAGTCAGCTATATCCGTTAAAAGCAACTGATGAGTGGTTACAAGATAATGTACTAGGGCGGTACTCTTTCCAAAGTCGAATTCCTGCAGATAAAATATGTGAAATATTGTTTTCTCCGGTTCGCGCTTTGATAAACAGAGGAGGTAAATCATGGCGTAGTTTACTTCTCGCATCTTGCTGTAATGCATTGTCTTGTGACTACTTTGATTGCTCACCTTTTATAGCTATGATAGAGCTTCTTCATGTAGGCTCATTGATTATTGATGATATTCAGGACAATTCTCTTGTTCGCCGTGGCGGACGGTGCATTCACATTGACTATGGTGTACCCACAGCAATTAACGCTGGTACTGCTTGTTATTTCATGGCTCCATACATTGCTGGTATTGATAAACTCTCTGAAGAAAAGGCCAACAAGGTCTACAAACTGTATCTTGATCTCCTTCGAATCGGTCATTTAGGTCAAGGGCTCGATATTTACGGACTTGATTATCTAATGCCGCAGGCTGTGGCTTCTGGCGATGTGCATCCGTTGCTAGAGGCACTTGAAGCTATCCACACTTGCAAAACCGGGAGTCTTACGAGCACTTTGTGCTCTATTGCATGTGTTTTATGTAGTGCTGATCCCAAGGTATTCGATGCGATGAAGATCTTTGGACTCAATTTAGGATTAGCTTTTCAAATCATAGATGATGTTCGAAACATAAAAAGTTTCAGGGGTGGTTTGAACGAAAAGGAAGACATTCGTAACGGAAAAATTACGTATCCAATAGTAAAGGCCATGTCAAGACTTTCCGGGGCCGATAGGCAGTTGCTTTGGGATGTTGTAAAGTCAAAGCCATCTGATCCTGAGATGGTAATGGTAGCAATCAAACTCATTGAAAAGGTTGGGGGTGTTGATTTGTGTCTGCAGGATGCACAAAGCTTGATTGAAAGGGCATGGTCCATACTGGATCCTTTGTTAGATGAATCAATTTCAAAAAACATCTTGTTTATCTTTAGTAAGTCTTTACTCAACTGTGATTGCTAGAAAAAAATGCAATGCCCTTTATAATGCTCACTTGGTATCAAAATTGCGTGTTTCATTTTTAGCTTTTTTATGATTTGCTCAGAGGTTGCATGACACTTAAAAGTAACTTATTGTTTTTTTTTAAATGTTCTTACAATTTATTCTTCTTAAGATTTTTGAGCACTTTACACTTTAGCAATTTGAAGTTAATTAATTAACGGGAATAAAGCCATCCTAATAAAATGGTCAACGATAAGAAGTCAGTTGCAAAGGACGCCGCCAATCCCAAGCGCTCCAAGGAGTCCAGGCTTAATTTTATTGAGGAGTTCATGATCGGTGGCATTGCTGCTGGAATTTCTAAGACGACTGCGGCGCCAATTGAGCGTGTAAAGCTACTTGTACAAAACCAGGGTGAGATGCTCAAACAAGGAGTACTTGATCGCCCATATAAGGGTGTATGCGACTGCCTATTTCGTACTGTAAAGACAGAGGGCGTATACTCTCTGTGGCGTGGCAACTGGTCCAATGTGCTCCGTTATTTTCCAACGCAAGCATTGAACTTCGCGTTCAAGGATGAATTTAAACGAATGTTCAACTATAAAAAGGAAAGAGATGGTTATAGTAAATGGTTCATGGGTAACATGGCCTCTGGTGGGCTTGCTGGTGCAACATCACTTTGTTTCGTGTATTCACTGGACTATGTACGAACGCGTTTGGCCAATGACACTAAGTCCTCCAAGAGGGATGGTAAGCGCCAGTACAACGGCATGATCGATTGCTACGTGAAGACATTCAAGAGCGACGGTATATGGGGGTTGTACCGTGGGTTCGTGGTATCTTGTGTGGGAATCGTTGTATATCGAGGCTTCTACTTTGGTCTTTATGATTCACTCCAGCCATTACTTCCCGTGAATAATTTCCTGGTTAACTTCATGCTTGGGTGGCTGGTGACGGTGGTAGCTGGCCTTTTGTCATACCCCCTGGACACAGTGCGACGTCGCATGATGATGACATCTGGGACTGGGCAGAATTATAAGAGCTCGTTTCATTGTATGATTAAAATAATAAGGAACGAAGGTGCCGTCTCGCTAATGCGTGGCGCAGGCGCAAATATTCTACGTGGTATTGCTGGTGCACTGGTGTTATCTGGTGTGGACGAAATCAAGCCATATTATAAACTCATGCGCTTAAAGGCATCTCAAGAATGAGCAGTAGATTATTAAATCGCTTTCTATTTCCAAACTTTAATTTTTGGGTCATGTTGAGTACGGTAGGATTGAGATATGTACTCATAAATAATATCACTAGAGGATTATAAAAGTGTTTCTGTTATTTAGGTTAGTATATTGAGGCTGAAAATTTATTTTCCGCCGTTAAGAATACAAGATGAATTTCATACACTATGAAATTAGAGCTATTACTTTTCACAGTTGTAACTACCTATTTTTATTCAGTGTCTTTTTCATTTTATTCTTGATTAGTAATAAATGATAAAATAAAAGTTTTTATCTAATCTTTGTTGAAAGTAGTGCAATAATTTTAGGGGAAAAATACCAGCTGGTTGTGCATTTTATTTTTGTTTGTAATTTCTTTAGAATAGACTTTTCAGGCAAGCGGTAGGTTAGATTAAATAGGTTGAAATGAAAATAATGGCCTGAAATATCTAAGGAACCTAAATGTTTCGCGCCATAAAAATGTCTTGAGTATTTTTTTTTTAGTAATACATATTTTTAAATTGTGTTTTTAAAATGGGCTGAATCATGTTTTCCCATGTTAAAATTCAAGGTGCATGACCCTTTTTTACTGTCAATGCAACTTTTATGTATGATCTCGTTTCGTCATCTTTCCATTGATATTTTCTGTTTTTGATATTAGTATGCGTATTGTTTAAAGAGCTCTTTTATATTAAGAATAGTTGTGACTTTCCATTTCTTCACACTCGTTTTCTCAGAATGCGTAAGGGTGGAGTGCCCTCGGGACAGGACTGGGAACCACAGGTCTTCAATTTTTCAAACAAAAATACTACTCAAAATCGTCCACTACGCGTTGTCTCTGTAAAGGAGGCAAATCGCGCACTGCAAAGTGGCCAGGCTGTCGATATCCAACGTAAAGAGCACCAACGCGCCAACCAGCAATCCAGCGGTGCTGGGGCAAATGCCAAAAAACTTGACGAGGATCACGAAACTCTCAAAATCAAGAGGGTAGATCATCAGCTCCGGATACGGATTATGAAGGAAAGACAAGCGCTAAAATGGTCTCAACAAGATCTTGCTCAAAAAATATCAGAGCGTGTGAGTGTAGTCAGTGAATACGAGAGCGGAAAAGCTGTTCCCGAAGAACGTGTTATCGTAAAGATGGAAAAGGCGTTTGGAGTTCACCTGCGTGGTGCAAAGGCAGGTGAACCGTTGGGAAAGAGTCGCCCTGTTCCCAAAACAACTGAATAATAGTAATTCATAATCATTTTTATTATCATCATTTTAATTTTTATTAGGCGGATTTCCAAAAAAAGTAATGATTGAAAAAGGCTGTTTTAGGTTGGCACAACAAACTTATTCCCGGCTGACAATAGTAGGATGAATTTTTTCCCTACTTAGTGCCGTCAAGTTTGATTCATTTCGTGAACTATAAGCGACTTTTTGCTCGATCCCTTTGCTAATCTAACAATTTTTTACTATATATTGTATCTCATTAGGTGTTTCCTCTGATTAAATTTATCGTACTCACGAAGTGCTAGTTCTATTGGAGTTTATTTTTAGATTATTGCTAACCTCAATCATACAAAAAAAAATATGAAGCGGTATATAGTATTAGGCCAAGCCGGGGATGGGTCTTTTGGCACCGTTAGCAAAGCAAAACAAGCTGAGACGGGTGAAATTGTTGCAGCTAAAAAAATGAAGCAACGCTTCCAAACCTGGGAAGAATGCTTGCAGCTCCGCGAGGTCCAGGCACTCTGTAAGCTAAAGCACCCTAATATAGTCAAGTTAAAGGAAGTTGTACGGGAAAATATGGAGCTCTTCCTTATTTTTGAGTATTGCGAAAAAAATATATTCCAAATACAGCGTCAGCGTATGGAGGAAATGAGTGGCACACAGACGTTCAACGATCTAGAGATTCGTAGCATCATTTGTCAAACGCTTTTGGGCATTCAAGCTTTCCATAAGGCTGGCTTTATGCACCGCGACATCAAGCCTGAGAATTTGTTGGTAAAGGGAGATCAAATCAAGGTAGCCGATTTTGGATTAGCCAGAGAAATACGATCTCGTTCGCCCTTCACAGAGTATGTGTCGACACGGTGGTACCGTGCACCTGAAATCGTGTTGCATTCCTCTCATTACAATTCCCCCATTGACATATGGGCTTGTGGTGTGACGTTTGCGGAGTTGTACCTTGGCCGGCCGCTTTTTCCTGGGACATCTGAAAGTGATCAATTGTTTAAGATATGCTCTGTGCTTGGATCACCAACACAGACTGAGTGGGATGAGGGCTATCATTTAGCACGCCGTCTTAATATGCGTTTCCCGACGATTGCGCCAACCCCATTGCGACAAATTTTGAATTGCGCTTCACCATCTGCTTTAGACTTAATAGAAAAAATGTTGCGTTTTAATCCTAGTGAACGATTGACCGCGACACAATGCTTGCAACATCCCTTTTTCACTGGCAACGGTAGCAGCTCGGCCTTGTTCTGTGGTATTAGCACTGGGCAGCCACATAATCCATTTGATTATGCTAGTGTGCTGACATCATCGACGGATAAAACGAGTTTTGATCACAGCTCCATCAAAGAGCAAAGTGGCTGTGGTACCCTTCAAAAAAGTCGTCAACCATCAAATGCACTCAAGTGCACGGGACTTTTTAATGGTGAAAATCGAACTTTGCTCATATCTGACTCATCTAATTCAACGGAAGATATCTCCGCAGTCACAAGGGCCAGTACTATGAAATCCCTTCCATCAAGCCCAAATTACAAAAGGGGTATTTCTGGTAGTATCGATGATGAGTTTAATTTTTAGAACAATTATGAGATTTATGATACTGAATGGCTCGAATATTTTAAGGAAACTCTCAAACTGATTTAAATTCATCTTTAAAATGATGAACAGTTATTGGAGAAAAATGTATCGATGCATCAAGGTTAAGATTGCTCTAGGCCTTTCATTTCTTGCGCTAACACTGTTCAATAAATGATGAATATTTTATCCTCTCATATTACTCTCATAATGTTCATAAAGGTGAAAATCTTCGAAGTCGAATCTATTAACGTCATATACACTTAGTGTTCTTTTCAACTTTTTATCGTAAACGAAGGAGAGAGGTATTATGTCATATAAGATTGAGGCAAATATGATTACTGTACTTTTAGAAATGAACAGTGTACGAGAAGGAATATTTTCATGTTTTGTTTTCTCAAATATAGTTATTTTATCTCCTCCTTTCTTGAGGAAAAACTTTGATATTGTGTTACATAGACTCAAATAATCTACAATAAGGTTAATTTGATGAAAAAGAGTACTCATATCATTATTATATTATTCGTTGTACCTGTCTCTGATGTTCATTTAAAAGTAAGCGAAATAAAATTCCCAGCGAAATATTGCTCAAGAAATAATATCTGTGTTTAACCGCAGTTGCTAGCGTAGTTGTATTTATTTGTGTATCTCGATGATCAATGTCGGGTAATTTTCTGTGGTGAGTGGCTGTGTTAGAAAAGTTGCTTGGACTAATATTCGCGTTGGGTTTGCAGTATAATATCTTGCTTAATAAACCTTCACCTGTGTTCTAGGGAGGTAGGTATGGATTAGCTCGATGATCCGCTCTAAAATACAGTTTTTGACCTCACAACTTTGTCCTCTCTCCCTCTAACTCGAGAAAGAATACTCCCATGTACGATCGATACCATTAATTAGGTGTAACTACCTATGAGGAAGGGGGGGGGGCTGTACCAAATATCCTATCGATTCGCGTTTTTTATAAGGTACTTCAGCATCTGCTATTCGCTCCTGTTGAAACAACGTCTTCAGTTCACGCGTCTTAACAAATAAGGTGCCTAAGTGAAGGGAAGAGTTTTTCTGAAAGCACGAGCTACGTACTTTCCTTTAGATATTGTCGTATGCAATTTCGACGTTCAGTGGTTTCTATCATCGTTTATTCTGTTCTACACCCTCTGCGCCGACAAACTAGTAAACGTATACTTCATGTATGCCATAGAATTAATTGCATTTCTTATTATTCTAATTTTCATGGCGTTATCGTTATTTCATCACAGTAAGCTATTCTTCAAATTATGGATTCACATTAGGCTGCCTAAAGCGTGTTGTGTGCTAGTTGTTCTCAAACCTGTGACTTAGGTTCATCTCATAAGTTGTTTCTATCCAGAGGTGTGCACACATTAGATAGAGAGCTGGGGGGGGGCGGGGGAGCGTGCATAGGAGAACGCATGCTAATACACGACTTATTAACAGGTGCTAACTCTAACTTTTGTGATGCATTAGGTGTACTGTTTTTAAATAAATTCTTTTCAACTGTTGCTTCTGTAGCATGTATTCATTGATGTCGAGTCGTGGATACCATGCGTAGGATGGTATGTTTCTACTCATATGCAAACGAATCAAGCGTCTGGACTTATTGCAGCGCCTTGCATCGTAAGTATGTTTTCACTGACCATAGGTGGTAAGTGTGGATGTTTGGATAGTAAGAATAAAAATAAGATTTTTATGATTTTACACTTTTTTTTCTTGCATAAAGGTCTGGTTTATGGCTTGTGTATTTCCAGGAAGAGGGAATGGTGTGAGTAGATAGAAGGCGGCGGCTTACACACTATTCATGCAATTTCAATGTGTTGTATTTTTTTTCTTCTCTTTCTCCTTTGCATTTTTTTCAAAGCAACAAGCACACATACCCTCATTTTTTTACTTCTTTTTTCTCCGGACCATTGATTTTATAAACAATACCCTTGCTATGTCAAAAAAACTTGAGGATAATTGGGAGGATGTTGAGGAAGTCGGCGAGCCAGAGGGGGAAGAGGAGGACACATCTATTAACAACTCTGATGTGGTGGTACGCTACAAAAAGGCGGCAGTATGGTGCAATGAGACCCTTCAAATTCTTATAGATGCGACAAAGCCTGGTGTAAAGGTATTCGAGCTTTGCAGGCTCGGTGACGAAACGATCGCTATGAAAGTCAAAACTATGTTTAAAGGTACAGAAAAAGGTATTGCCTTTCCTACCTGTATCTCTGTGAATCACTGCGTGTGCCACAACAGCCCTGGGGCCTCAGATGAGGAAAAGCCGCAGGAAATTAAGCTGAATGATATCGTTCACTATGACCTAGGCGTGCACGTGGATGGCTACAGTGCACAAGTTGCTCACACTATTCAGGTCACTGAAAGTGGTGAGTTAGGCACTAACGAGAAGGCCACTAAAGTAATTACTGCTGCTCACAATATTCTAAACACGGCTCTTCGAATGATGCGCCCCGGCGTAAGCGTTTATGATGTGACACAAATTATCGAAAAGGCTGCTGAGCATTATGGTGTGACTCCTGTCGATGGTGTACTCTCGCATATGATCAAGAGGTACATTGTTGATTCATACCGTTGCATTCCGCAGCGGAAGGTGGCGGAGCACATGGTGCATGACTACGAATTTGAGAATGCACAAGTGTGGACACTAGACATTGTCATGTCCTCTGGTAAAGGCAAGCTTCGGGAGCTCCACACGCGGCCTTACGTGTACAAAACAGCTTTGGAGTCAAACTATACACTAAAGATGGAGAGTGCGCGAGAGTTGGAGAAAGAAATCGAGAGCAAATTTATGACTTTTCCATTCGCCATTCGCAATCTAGAGTCCAAGAAGACACGTCTAGGGCTAAATGAAATGCTAAAACACAATGCTGTAGTGCCTTATCCGGTACTCTACGAGCGCGAAGGAGCAGTTGTTGGACATTTTAAGATAACGTTAATGATAACCAATAAAAGAATCGAGCCCATTACCGGCCTCAAGATGCAGAAAGGGCCCGCTCTCGAGCCCTACACTGACGAGCTGCTTCTAGCCGCCAATAAGTCTCCTCTTTTGTTTAACAAGAAAAAATCCGCGGAATAAAATCCATTTAAATAAAATTAGCTGGCGTATTGTTTTTGTCTTCCCTTATTTTTTCCTAAATATGCTATATTACTTTTTGAACGAAAAAACGTGTGCATATAAGGGGGTAGGGGACCGACCAGAGGGAGGGAGCCAGGCGTAAAACTGATCATTAAATCGCTCTATTTAGAGAATAGTGTCCCTTAAGTTATTAAAAGAGGCTTCGTGATATTTTTCGTAGTTGTAATATTTTAATATAAGAAGTAAAAAGAAATAAGTCTAGCTTATCAGATTTAAGGCTATAGAATAAATCTGAATCACATCCAAAATACACTCTCTGCGCATTTACCAAGACTGTTTTTACTATGCAAGGTTTTCTAATTAATCTTTCTGTTTCATATTGTTTCCTTCTGTTCAAAGCAAATAGTTAGCATAGATTTGCACCAAGTCGAAGATTTCACGCTAAAGAAGTTAAACTCGTTAAATTTTTTATCTCAAGCATACACACAAACATTCCACTAACCACAGTGCCTACGTTATTGTAATGTCATCAGTGTCAGTCGACGAGCTTCTCAATGTCACCCTAGGAAAGAAACTAGGTGCTGGGACCTTTGGGTCAGTGCATGTGGGGGTCTTGCCAAGTGGACGCTTCGTTGCGGTTAAAATACTTGAGCTTTCTGATGACGCACCATCAAACACAGAAGTGGAAATTCACCGCAAGTTAGTTCATCCAAACATTATTCGTTACTTGCATAGTCGGATAGATGCTGAAAGCACACCTAAGAAGCTGTATGTTTACTTGGAGTTTGTTACTGGGGGTTCTGTCTCTTCGCTGATGAAGAGCCTGCCACAGGGATGTCTTCCGTATTCGGTAGTACGCGTGTATGCACGACACATGTTTCTTGGATTAGAGTACCTCCATAGGAACCAAGTCGCGCATCGCGATATCAAAGGTGATAATCTCCTCATTTCTATGGATACAGGAGTTGCTAAGCTGGCAGATTTTGATCAGGCTAAGATCATGAGCACCCATGATACTTTGCGGATGGCTGCCACAGCGACGTTGGCTGGGACACCATACTGGATGGCACCAGAAGTTATTACGGATGAGTCTGGGTACGACCCTTTCAAGGCAGATATTTGGTCAGCCGGATGCACAGTTGCTGAGATGTTAACGGGGAGGGCACCATGGTTACCCATGTCAAATCTCATGCAGGTGATGAACAAGTTGGCCCTATCAATGGACTGGCCCGATGCAGTGCCCAAGGACCCTGAAAAGTTGGGGTCTAAGGATGCGTACGATTTTTTAAACCAATGCTTTTGTCGGGATGCAGCCACTCGGCCAATGGCCAGTGCGCTGTTGAAACACCCTTTCTTAAATGTGTGAAGGAGGGGAAAAATTCATGGGGCAGGGTACTCTGTGCTTTGCATGTCGTCTTTTTTTTAAAAAATATTTTTGTTATCGTTTATATACTGTTGAATCAGATGCCTTGACTTATTCATTACAATTTTTTTCTTTTTAAATGTAGTATCACTTAACCTTTGTGATGAATATGGGATGTTTATGTTTAGCGTATTTCATCGTTTATAGTGCAGCTCAGGCTTTTTACATAGAATAGTCGATTTAATATTTGCTTATATATATGCGTCTTGGTTCAACCGTTTACTCATCTTTTGTGCTCTTCTCATCATTGATGTTTCAGTTGGGGGAAAAAATAGGACATGAATCGTCATCAAGTGTGGTATGGAAAAATGAAAATTACTACAGTAATACGCGTATTATTGTGGATCGCTTGTTTTAGTTCTACCTTTTCAGTGGGGAGAACTTTCTTCCCTCTGTTGTTGGGACATGAGCAAAATATTCATCCGTTTTCTATTGCTAGAAGATTGTTCTCTAAATTTGATTTAAATTTGTTTTAGTCATAGGTTTTTATCATTCATATTGCGAATTAATCATGGAGGATAAACCTTATTACGCCGAGAATGGCAATTCTACTTCTGATATTGAGGGAAAGTACCTTATTCATGAAGAGGAAGTAGTAGGTCGTGGCGCGTGGAGTGTTGTCAAACGGTGCACTCCCATCCCTCCCTACACACCGCGTGGGTCACATCCTGGTATGAAATTTGTCGTGAAGGTTATCGAAAAGGAGTATTTGATTTCTCTGACCAAAGGCGATGTGGATCGCGCCATGGTGGAAGTGAAGCGGGAAATTAACGTCCTTAGACACATCCCACCGCATGAGAACGTAGTCACCTTTATCGAACACATAGAAACTGAAAAGCACTTTTTGCTTTTTTTTGAAGAAGTCTGCTGTGGTGATCTGTGTGAACTTATTCTTCAAACTCCTGATGGAAAATTAACAGAGGGAAAGGCTAAGCTCTACATCTACCAGATCATCAAGGCAGTGATTCATTGCCACTTGCATGACGTTATTCATAGGGACATTAAACCTGAAAATCTTCTTGTAAGTGAGAAAGATGACATTAAGCTCACAGATTTCGGTCTTGCTAAGTACGTCAAGGGGATTTGTACAGGTGATGTCCCAAATGATCCTTTGGATTTGGTGTCCCTTATGATGCCTTACATTGGATGCGAGCGTCTTATTGGGAAGCGCATCGTGTGTTCAGACGTTATAGGAACGCCTCGGTACGGAGCACCTGAGATGTTTTATGCTAAATTCACGCAAACTCACTACGATGGCTTCAGCGCTGATACGTGGTCGATCGGTGTTGTCGCGTACATTATGCTGTCTGGGAGCTTTCCATACTCCGCCAGCTCCTCGGCATCGGACGAAGAAGTGTTTCGCACAATCATGGACACTCCACTTCCGAGCCCTTCTAACATCAGCACGCTCGCATTAGACTTCATCCAATGCCTTCTGAACAAAGATCCCACTAAACGTGTGCCGCTTCATGATACACTTAACCACCCTTGGCTCATGGATGTTGTAGTGCCGCGTGGATCCGTTGTTGCGGGCAAGTTGCGACAAAACTCCATCACACCCAAGGTCGAGGAGGCGTGCAAGTGGTTTGACGAAGAAGCGAAGAACTTTCATATTTGCATTGCAAAGCTGCAATATGAGCTTATGATTCTTCGTTCAGAATTTGACAAATACAGAGAGGAGCACAAATCTAGGGAGAGTCCAAAAACACCGCCACGGCGCGCTCAGACCCCTAGCGGGACGTCGCGTTTGCGTAATACGCGATCACCGGTGTCATCGTCGAGGGTTACTCCAGCAAGCAGGCCAGGGTCTCGGCTGCACACTGTAAGTCGTGACGTCGGCACCACACCGACGCAAGGTAAAACCTTGGGTGTAACTGCTCGGACCCGTAGCCCTCTTGCGCGAAGTGCGGGCGGGGCAGCAGTGAGACGTGGGACTCCCGCCCGAACGAGGGGAACGACTCCGGCGTCACTGCGCAGTGGTACGCCGACCCGTCCCACTACTAGATCCTCCTCTGCAATTCGGGGCTCACACGCTAATCGCACCATGACGCCATCTGGAAAAGTGCGCGAGTCTACACTAAGCAACACACCTCGAAAGCCTTCACAAACTCCGCGCGCTCTCTCAGGAGGCATGAATAGCATGTCTTCGTCTACGATGGGTGCAACCCAGGCATGCGAGCTGCGTGTTAATGAGCAAGTTACCTACAAGGGCTACCGTGCAATTGTGCGTTTTAACGGTCCAACTTCTTTTGGTGCAGGCGTTTGGATCGGCCTCGAAATGCTGGAGGGCAATGAAGGTACCAATGACGGGTCTTCTTTTATTGATAAAAAGGAGTACTTCAAGTGTCCCAAGGGAAGGGGCGTTTTCGTACGTGCTTCGCAGGTGAAACGGTGTTAAAGCCATTTTGCATTAGAGGGTTCTAGAATGGGTGCCATTATTTGTATTTTCTTTTTTATTTGTAGATTTAAGATATGATAGTCATTTTCCTTCTGTTAACAAAGAGGGGAATCATAAGAAAAAACTAAAAGATTGTTTACAATTTTAGGTGAACTCAGTTTCTAGTCTTTTAAATGTTCTTAGCGCAAACAGATGAGCACCTAAGTGACACCTAGTCATGTGTCTGGCGTTTAGTTTATCCTTGCAAGCTAGGCTTCGCTTTGTTGTGTTCTTTTTTTTTCATATGCCTGGGACAAACCTAAATATACAAGTTTGGATATCAGATTTAGAGCCTTTAAAGAACACAGGGTTGCCTTACCTCATGTGTCTGTGATAAATGGGTTCTTACAGAAATGTGAAGTAAAAATGAATCACGAGTTCCATCTATAAGTCACATGTTTCTTTTCCTTTTCCCGATCCAGAAACAATCAAATAGGGGCTTCTATCATTTTGGCTATTCAAAAATCAATTGCCTAACGGGTGGAAAGGATGGCACAAAACATCGAGACCTGGTTCTCATCGATGGGCCAGATCACACGACTTTTACTGGCATATATTGTTCTCAGCACTGGTGCTGTAGCCTTTGGGGCACTGGATCCTGCATATTTAGCTATTTACTATCCGACCTTATCGAGCTGTATCGAGATATGGCGGCCCTTTACATCTGCTCTTTTTTTTGGCCCATTCTCTTTTTCGTGGATAATGACAGTATTGCTTTTCGTTACCTATTCCAGCAACAATGAGATTCGAGGTATCACAAATAAGCCAGCAGACTTTGTATTTATGCTTTTCTTGCTCACACTTACATTGGGCTTCATTGGGGGTTTTATAGGTATTCCATGGACAGGTCACTCACTCATCTTGGCCCTGTGTTGGATCCACTGCAAACGCAATACAGCAGATAGGATACTCTTTCTTGGGTTTGAGTGTCGTTCAGCATACTTTCCATGGGTACTCGTGATATTTGAATTCATTCTAGCACAGTCACTCTTACCCAACCTTCTTGGGGTATTTGTGGGTCATTTGTATTTCTTTTTCAAGGATATTCTTCCATCTACGCATAATTATCAGCTCCTTAACACACCAGTTTGGCTGGTAAACCTAGTATTTAGAGCTGGTCTGGGTGTCTCATCCGGTTCCCCGAGCCCCGTTCCACCACGAAGCTGGGGTCGTGGGCACGTGCTTGGATCGCAATAAAGAGGAGTTTGTATTGACAATTTTATGACTTTGGTATATATTTATGAAGTATTATCATCGTTTCATGAAAAAGCGAAATTGAAGGAGTGGAGGGTGAATATGTTTTAAATAGTCGTGGGTACGTTCCAAAGAAAGAATAATGCTGAACAATCTATACATTACAATTTTTTTCTTGTATCTATCACTTTTTCAGTATGGGTGTAAGCAAAGTGCAATGTGCATCATTGCTGAGGGTTTAGTCTATAATTTTGGCGCGATTTTCAAGCAAGCGGCCCTTAGCATTTATATTCTTATCTCTATATATTTTTAATTACTTCTATCCTGAATTTTCCTTTTTATTAATGAATGTCCTACTTCGCTGCTTCAATATATAGGTACTCTGCTTAAGTTTTTGCACGTATTCTCTATGCATAGATTTTGTATCGAGTATGCCATTTGATATTAAGGAAGCGACATTGCATTCAACTCAGAAGATTTGTAAGGCGGTTCAGGATGTAAGGAATGCAGTTAAGGAATTGGGAACCGATCGTGACGCAATCGCCCGCATTAAGATCAAACGAGCTCGAGATATAGTTTACCAGTGCTCTCAAAAAATAAGTCCACTTCTCCGTAGTCTAGAACCGGAGTTCAAAACTCTAAAAGAGCAATTCCAATTGGCCGAGTCAAGTTTCAGAACTGTTGATCTGAATGCATTGCGGAAGGAAAAGATGACTTACCAATATGAAGATCAGCCTCCAGTTGCAGACGATCAAAACGATGATGATGCCCGATCTCTGAGGGCCTATGACCGGTGTAGCAGACCCCTCTACTTATCGGAGTTCCGTACCGAAGAGGCGAACCAAGAAGAAAAGTTGCAGAATGTTATGGAAATCGAATCTGACGTGATGGACTTGAACGTTACTTATCAAGAATATCATCTGCTATTAGCTCAGCAACAGCAAGGCCTTACCACTATAGGCAGTAATGCAGGAGGGTCTAACGAGCTCATTGCGGAGGGTCACAATCAGCTGCAACAGTCGTTAAAGTACCAAGAAGCTCGGAAAATTCGATGCATACTGATGGTAATCTTTGTTCTCATTGTAATTGGTATCACCGCTGTCACGTTTTGTTTAAATCTATAAAACTTTTGATTTTCCATTCTTTTTTCTATGTTTGTGCGCAATTAGGAAGAAAATATGACAAAATGTGTTCATCTTTGCAACCAGTATTGTGTTGCATATGCACCATGATCGTTCTTGGTATTATGTTCTGCTAGAAAGCATTAAAATAATCATACTATTAAGAAAGACTGATCCATGAAAACTCAAATTAGCTATTTCAAAATAACATGACATTAGTAACTTTTTTCATTTCTTCTTCCAAACAGTCTCTAATTTGTTTTCATTTTCTTCTTTCAGAAGCTTCATACTACACTTACTATTACCTGTTTTAAGACGCCTAATGGACAACAAATTTGACCCGATGCTTCGTGAGCAGAGCTTTTCGCCTGGCTCCTCGGCACTGCAGGAAGAAGGTGGAACTGTCGAATCTGGTGCCTGGGATGTCTCTCAAAGCGCTAACTTCTCAACTGGAAGTCCTTCAGTGTCGCTACCTGCAGCGGCAGGTTCTTTAGATGCTTCTAAGGTACCAGCTGATGCACAATCAAAGTTGGATGACATTTGGGGATCCGCAGGCCCTACAACCGAGGCCCAGAAGCCACCATCAGCTGATCTTCAAAGTGCCACCAACACGGTCCGCCTCACCACGCCACTGACAAAAGATGCAGGGAAACAGACTATCAACCCTCTTTTAAAGGCTTTGCAAGAACAGATTGCCAAACGCACGGCGGCAATTGATGCGGCAACAAAGGAGAAGCAGGCAAAGATCCTTGCAGCCTCGAAAGAGTACATAGAACAGCAGAAGTCAAAGCGTGAGAAGCAGATCTCAGGAGCCAAGGAGTTGCATAAAAAAATTCAAGATAACGATGGTAAAAAGCTTGAACAATTTCAAAAGAGTGGAGCGGTTTGGAATGCGGTCGGGATGATTGTTGACCTTCAGAAGCCGAATCCTTACTCAAAGAACACAGAGCGCATGCGTTCCATTTTATCAACGCTTAATCGACCTGATGCAGTTGCTTCGAAATAGAATGAGGTTAAAATTTAGAGGGTCAATTTGACATCTTTACCAATAATGATTTTTTTTCCATTAGTCCGTCTTTCCTTCACCCTTCCAGGATGAAGATGTCTAGTTGTGGTTTGCGATACCTTAAGTTTTCTTTGACGTCTTTCTTTTTTATACATCGGTTTATGTCTTCATTTGTTCCAAAAGTAGCATTTTGTCACTTTTTAGGAAAAAAATACTTCCAATGTTATTGCTAAATTAGATGCGATTGTATCAGAAAATATCATTTAATGGAGGGCGGTCCCTTTTGTGCAAAAATCGTTGAGTGATGCTTGAATGCGAAAGTGGACCCATTCCTTGAAAGTAAAACTTGATTTGCAAGTTCTCTGATTGAATATTTTTTCTTCTACTGGCATTTCTCTCTTGTCTAACTTTCTATCATTTATCTTTGCTCTTTTGATACTAATGTCGGCATTCTGAGTAGGTCGGATTCCCCCTAAAAACAAGAATAATTATTTTAATTGAAATGCGCGGTGGACGAGGTGGTGGTGGTCGCGGCTTTGGCGGTCGTGGTGGTAGCCGAGGCCGTGGCGGTGGTCGCGGTGGTGGGCGCGGTGGAGGCCGGGGTGGGAGAGGTAGCGGCCCTAACAAAAGTAACGGGAAGCCATCTATCAAGGGAAATGTATTCCTTCCCCACGTCAGGTTTCAAGGCTGTTTCCTTCTATCTGGTAAGGACACCCTCTCTACCCGTTCTCTTGTTCCCGGTGTGTCGATCTACGGTGAGAAGCGCTTGAACGGGACTGTAGCGGGTGAGGCGGAGTCTCAAGAGTTTCGTGTGTGGAACCCATACCGCTCTAAGTTGGCCTCCGCGATTTATGCTGGTGTGGAGCATATTTATATGGAACCTGGCTCTACGGTGCTTTACCTTGGAGCTGCGAGCGGCACCACCGTTAGCCATGTTTCAGATCTGGTAGGCCCTGAGGGTTTAGTCTACGCGGTGGAGTTTTCTCATCGCAGCGGACGTGACCTAGAGGAGATGACCAAGCGCCGAAATAACATCGTACCTATTCTTGAAGACGCCCGGTACCCACAAAAGTACCGAATGCTGATTCCTCATCTTGTGGACTGCATTTTCATGGATGTTGCTCAACCTGATCAGGCACGCATCCTGGCCCTCAATGCGCAGCACTTTTTGAAGGAAAAAGGGGGATTCGTAATTTCTATAAAAGCAAACTGTATTGACTCTACTGCTGATCCTGCGACCGTTTTTGCATCCGAAGTTCAGAAGCTCAAGACCTCAGGTCTTCGTCCGAAGGAGCAGGTTTCCCTAGAGCCTTTTGAAAGGGACCATTGTGTTGTCACTGGCATTTATAAAAACCCACCACAACATACGGAATAACTAACCATACTTCATCAGAATTATTAAATCAGAACATTTAATTTGAAGTAATCGTAAACGTTTCTTAATAAATCTTTTTAAGCCCCTTTTCATATAGATGCTTATATCCTTTTTGTTTCCTTAAATATAAATATATATATATATATATATATATATTTAACTAAATGAGTTCATATGCTCTCTTTCCACTTTAGTCTGCACACTGGGCCAAGTACAGCGAATATATACATCTATATAAACACAAAGGGAAAGCCTATCTCAATGAAACCACGTACAGCGTTGCTCCGCCAACAGCAGTCCCAGAGCCGCCGTTCCAAGCTAGAGGGAATTGCTGCCATGGCACATATGGAGTCGATTCGAAATCCAAAAATTCAGCAACAACGATTTTCATACCCCGGTCCCACAGTTCAAAGACGTGACCCTAACCGTGGCATCATTACTCAAAATGAATGGAACGCACTAGTGGATGAACACGAGGACTCGGGGAGGGGATTTCGTTACTTTTTTTCAATTATTGTAATTATTGGTGTCATTCTACTAGTCTTATCAAAATACGATTCAGAGTTTAACGTAGAGGTCCCGCAAATAGAGAGTGGTCTCGGTTTTGGTGAGGTGCTGAACCCGTCCGACATTGATAACTCTGAATTAGATTATTACCAGGCTCTCGGTGTTAAGGGGCGTTTACACAGTAGTGCGGGGTTGAACTCCGACGTTGCTGAAAATGATGCCGATAAACAAAGGCGCCGTGAAAACTACCGTGTACGGCAGGAGATCAAGAAGTCTTACCAGATTCATCAAGAAAAGCAAGGCCAGTTGGTACATTGCGGTCGATCTTGTCAGGCTAAAGACAAACAAGTTCAAATAGCATACAACAAGCTATCTTCTCAGGTTGATCGAGAGCTGTTTGGAGTCCTCCTCGATGCTAACGATACAAAATCAGCACGCACTGTTAGCCCAGAAACACTCAAGAGGAAATATGAGGAGAAGCGGGAACTTATCGAGAAGACGGAAACAAATGAAGAGGATCGGAACATGGCACTGGAAGAACTCAAAGATGCCTACGATATCATAAAAGATCCTGATGCACGAAAGTACTATCTTATCTATGGTGCCAAGCCACCAGAACATATGCGGCATGTCAGTGCTCGGCATGGAGGATGGGGTCAGGAAATGGCATTGGGGACCTTCAAGTATCGTATTATCATAATGTGGCTAGATTTTCTACACCAGTACATTGGTTCTTGGGGTGAAACCATCGTGCTGTTAGGCCTCTTGATGCTTGTGCTCGCACGCATACCTGCAACATTAAAGCAGACCCAACATTTACTAGATGATATGGAATGGGAAGAACAGCTGACCACAATGACCGACTCAGAGCCAAAGAAAACTGAATCATGAGGTATAGTGTATGGAGAATGCTATGGTTTCACTGTTTTACGAGTAGGGTGCCTTCGTTGAAAAATCAAATAGATGCCTTGCCAATAACATCTATTTTATAGCATAATGGGCTTTAATCGATGTATGCCTTTAATATTTTAGTATGTATGTGGAAGGAGTTTTCTATTCCTTGGTAATTTTAATTTCAAACCAAAAAAGTCCCTTCTGTTTCCGGATACAGGGATTTTTTATTACCATTATTCTCACAATTCATTGAATAAACTGTGAAAAAGGGGAGAAAACTATACAGCAATAAAACCAAAGTAATAAAATATACGTACTACATTAGCCCAATTCAGAAATGGATAAGCTTGATCATTATTCCATCTTGGGCATCTCGCGATCTGCAAACAAGGATATGATTCGCCAGGCATACAAGGTGAAGGCACTTGAGTTGCATCCGGACAAGAATCCCGACGGTGAAGATATTTTCAAACTAGTCTCGAATGCATATCAAATATTAACCGATCCCTCTAAGCGATCGGCTTATGACAGCGAATTGTTGCGCCGTGAGTATCGTTCAGGTATGTCAACGCGTCCGCCCTTCAGTAAACCTTCGAGATCTCCCGGTGCAGCGAGCAGTAGTTCACCTCACAATGCAGGATCTCCTCGCAAGCCCCGTTTTCCTACAGAAGAGGAGCTATTTAAGGATATTTATGAACAGTACAAGAAAAGTGCGTATACTGCTCGTGGCAATGCGCGTGGCTGTGGCTTTCACACTTCTGGTATGTCGGCAGAGGGGTCATTCGCGGAGTGGTTTAAGAAAAAGCAAGAGGAGCTTCGATGTGCGGAAGAAATCACTAAGGCGAAAGCAGAATACGCCAAGAACTTAGAGCGCGAAGAGCAAAAGCGTGCGGAAGAATGGCGTGAGATGCAGCGGCAGCGTGAAAAAGAGCGCGAGGAAGAGCTGGCACATGCTCGTGCGAAAAGAGTTGCTGAAGAGGAAGCGTTGCGTCGGGCTAAGGCTGATGAACTGAACTCATTGAGAGCAGCGGCCCATCAACAGAAAATGGAAGAGTTTGCGAGGGTTCAGAAAGCACAACAAGTGGAGATGGAGCGCCACTTGCGTGAGCTTGCCGAGCAGAAGCAACAACTTGAAGAAGAGCGTCGCAAAATGGCGGACGAACGAGAGAGGGCGGCCCAAGTGGTCGAAAATCATCGCAGCAATCGTTTTGTTCTCCAAAAGCAACGTGAGGAGGCGCTTCTGCGGGCTGTGCGCGAGGCAGATGAAAAGCTGCGAGAGGCTCGAGAGCAAAAGACTTATCATGAAGCGCAGCAAAAACTTAAGGAGTTAGAGCGGTTGAATGAAGAAAAGTTGCGGCGAGAAGAGGAGGAAAGGCAACGGGAGGAGTATGAGAAAGAGGAAGCCATGCGCAAGAAGTTTGAAGAGCAAGACGATTTAGCTCGTCGCCGTGCTTCAAATGATCTTAATGAGCAGCGTAAGCGTGTGATCGGCCTTATGATGGAGGAGAGGAGACACCAAATGGAGGATGTCGCTGCGATGCGTCGCGAGACGGATCGGATTGAGGCGGAGATGCGCGCCAAGTTGGATGCGTTGAGAGAAGCCAAAAAGGCTGGTCAACCTATAAATTTAGATGAATGGAAGTTGTAATGCCTGGATAGAGAATGCAAGGCTACTTTATGGGTTTGAACCTCTAGATTCCTTGCTTACAGTTGTGTCAGTCGCTCCTGGTCAAAGTTATTTATTGATTTGTATCTTAACCGACAATGTAAATTTTTACCTTTTCACCCGTTAAGAACCAGATTATCCATTTGGTTTAAACAAATATTTTTTATTGCTTGATATATTCACAAATATGAAACTGTGTATGATAAACTAAAAGAACGATACTTCATTGCGTACTCAACTTATTAAATTAGATTCTTTAACGTATATACATGAATAAATAGAAGAACTTTACTTATGTTTCTCCAAAATTTGGTAGTCTACATTCATATAGAAGATCCAAGGGATTCTGCAAAAAACATCCTTTCTAGCTCACTTAATAAATAAATAAATAACTATATTTGACGTAATGCTTGGTGGAATTGGCATGAACAACATGTACGGCAGTGGCCTTGGTATGGGCAACATGTACGGCAGTGGCCTTGGTATGGGCAACATGTACGGCAGTGGCCTTGGTATGGGCAACATGTATGGCAGTGGCCTTGGTATGGGGAACATGTATGGCAGTGGGATGGGGCTTTCAAATGGTTTTGGATCTGGCATGATGGGCAATGCATTGACTTCAAACATCAATGGCATTATGGGTGGCGTGTCTGATTCCAACGGCAATGCCAATACCAACTTACTAGGCGGCAATTATACGCAACAACAACAGGGCTTGTTGCCCTCGTCCTCGCAGGATCAACAGGTTGGATCTCCCATTGCAGTGGGAGCACCTCCACCTCCGTTAAACGAGACACCGGAGGAACGCGCACAACGCATCCGCACTGAGCGCTACAGGGAACGTCAACTTATTCAGAAGCAACGCCAGGAGCGAAAGCAGTTGCGGCTTCAAGCAAAAATGGAAATAGCTGGGCACTTAACTAACGTCCTCGTACAAACCTTGCGTTCCACTATGGAACTTTTTGCTGTATGTTTTGGTACTTATTATAGCATGAAGGCTGTTCGTGCTTTTGCAAATTCTCAAGAGGCGATTTCATCGGGACAGATGCGGCGGGGACCGATGGGGGAGTTAATTCCGATACCTGGATCGGTCGGCAGCGCCGCAGTTTTGGCGTCTAACAAAGACACTATTACACCAGTTTCTGGTTCAGGGGGCCGGTGGAAGTGGATTATGTTTGGAGTTTTGTTCCTTTTGGGTGAGATTGTGACTGCACTTATTTCACGCGCGCGGAAGCCTGCTTATTTGTCTCGGACGCGGCGACTAGCTGATGGCGTCATGGAGAGCGAATACGATGACGACGCGTCGCTTAAAAAATGGGAACTACCAGCATCAGAGACAGACGATTGCGGGAGCGTGGAATCCTTACGGATAGCCGAGGCTGAGGGCCAAGTCATAACACAAGGTGCCGAACTGGAGGAGAGCCCATCTGATCTGTTTCCTTTGTCTCGTAATCGACGTGTTTATGTCGCTGTATATGACTTTGAGGCGCAATCTGACCTCAAAGGGTATCTGAGTTTTAAAGCTGGCGATGAGTTTGTGATTCAAGATTACGTAGAAGGGACCTGGTGCAAGGCAACCGTTTGTTCTTCTCCTGGTACTGCATTAAACTCCTGTGGGCTGGTACCTAGTAACTTTTTGCGACCCTTGGAGACGGTGACTAAACTCTAGGTTTTCTGGCCATCTAATAGGCACAATGCTTACTGAAGCTGATTTTACTTGTGTGAAATCACCAAATCATTACTTTTTTATTTTTACAAGTTCTAAGTATTTATCCTGCCTTCTATGGCGGGGGATGCATTGAGAAGAAAGGATTCTCTTACAGGAACAGTGTTTTTTTTGCCTTAACTGAAGCTCCCTTTTTTTCGTTTGAGAAAACAATAGTGTCAAGAATGGAAATTGCTGTTGGGCTTATGTATTCGTACTTGCATGCGTATATATAGGGTGACAAGACAAAAATATATTAGTTGTAACTCATGCAAGAATACAAAAGGGATCATATATAAAAGAGAGAAAGTATTGTCGCATTCTAGCCTTCCAGATGAAGAACTATTATCGTTTGTACGACCCTCTTCCTCTTTTTAAGTGGGAAGCATTATGTGTATGCATTAGCACTTTCATTTTTACTTTGCGCGTTAATGAATTAGGGAACGCAATATTTCCTGTCCTTAATTTCTCAACTTCTTCATTTCTTAAAGCACTATTTTTAGAGGTGTCGACATATAAGTAATGACTGATAATCAGCAGCAGGCGCGTGCAGGAGGTGGAGCAGCGCCACAAGGTCGTGGCTTCGGCCGTGGGCGTGAGCGCGGTGGACGTGGGGGTCGGGGTGGTGATGATAAAGAGTGGGTGCCCTGCACCAAGCTCGGCCGTCTCGTCAAGGAGCGTAAGATCACCAGTCTCGAGCAGATCTTCCTCTTTTCGATGCCCATCAAGGAGCACCAGATCGTTGACAACCTTATCGCCGAAGGCCAGCTGCGTGACGAGATGATGAAGATTTTCCCAGTGCAGAAGGCCACCTCTGCTGGCCAGCGCACCCGATTCAAGGCATTCAATGTTGTGGGCGACGGAAACGGACACATCGGGATCGGTGCCCGTGTGGGCAAGGAAGTCTCCCTCGCCATTCGCGCCTCGATGATTGCAGCCAAGCTCAACATCGTCCCGGTGCGCCGCGGCTACTGGGGTAACAAAATCGGCGAACCCCACACCATCCCAATGAAGGTTACTGGCAAGTGCGGCTCTGTGGCGGTGCGTCTGGTCCCTGCCCCGCGCGGTACTGGCATCGTCGCGGCACCTGTTCCTCGCAAGATCCTTGAGTTTGCCGGTGTAGAGGATGTGTACACCAGCTCCTGTGGCAAGACGCGTACGCAGGGTAACTTCATTATGGCCACCTTCTATGCTCTGCGTAAGACCTACGGCTTCCTCACTCCGGACCTCTGGGCGGAGACAGAGGCGCAGCGCGACCCCACGGACGAGTACTCTGAGTTCTTGGCGGCCCGCAACGCAATCACCGTTTGATGCAGATACGATTTTTCCTCTAAAAATTGTCTGTTTATATCTTATTTTATTTTTCTAACAACCCAAATCATATTCATCTAAAAAAAAAAGAAAGCAGAGCAGAGCGAAGTGTTAGATGCTCTTCTACATTCCCACTGCGCTTTCTTTTATTGTCCCAACAATGTGATGTTTTTTTTTAAGCATTAATCTCTTATGTTCTTCTGCCTTTTTCCTCAAATTTATTGCTTGGTCAGTTTGATAGTATTCATTTGAATTTTTTTAGTGTATTGAAAGCTGTCCCTCGATAATACACGTTTTTTTTTGCATACAGAATTGGAACAGAATGAGCTCATGGAAAAAAAACGCCATGGATCAAAAGAAGAACACTCCGGTCACAACGAAATCTGCTGCAAGGAGGCCTTCCAGCAAGGCACTTCCCGTAGAAAAGGCGGGCGACTACCATGAGAGTACCAGCCCTTGTGAGAACAACAAATCGAGGCTGTTGCGTAAAAACTTCCTCAACTCTGAGAAAAAATTGGAGAACCCCCAAGGGAGGAAAGAGGAAGACTTGAATTCCACTAATAGACCTGTAATACACTACAAAAAGGATATCAATGCCGGGTCGACGTGGTCGAAGGGTAGAACGGGTCCTTCGTTTGCAGATATGGTGCGACAGCAAAAGGGTGGGACAAAGGTATCTGCAGAGACTCCCACACTCAATTCGACGCCGGAATCGGTTCAGCCTCTTGCTCATGATGAAAAAGCACCCGTAGCTCTTGTTACTGCCGCCGTTCAGGAAGTCATTATGGACCAACATACTGAAGAGCAGCCTTCTACTCAAATGGAAAATGCCGAAAGCAAGGATGAAACTGAGCCAGTAGCTCCACCTGCGGAGTCAGCTCCTTCGTATTATGTTCTTGAAGTAGAACGGGTAGATCGAGTCAAGTTGCCTATTAATGTCATTAAGGTGGCAGCTATGTCGGCTGGTATATACAACTTCTCTGCACACGCGGGCAAGGCGCCGACCCCACCTGCGCCACAGCAGCCCCAAGCCATTTATCGTCCTGACACAGCTAATTTGAGCAATCGTACGTGGAGCCTGGCCGAAACTGGACGTTTACTACCTCAGCAACCCCAATCCACTTGGCAGTCTTCTGTTAACCAAACCTTGGATGGCTGGAACAATGCACCAGAACGAACAAACTTGGTCCACCCGCAATCACATCAACAGCAACCACAACTACAATCACAGCAGCGTTTTCAACAGGTGGCATCACATATGCAATATAGTTCTTATCCAGTTCCACAGTCGCAGTTACAACAGCAGCAGCAGATTCGTGGCCAGAATTTTTTCCCATCCCGTCTACGAGCCAGTGAAATGACGGACTCTACTCCCGTTCGCCAGCCCATGTCGACCGCAGCGCCATTTAGTCGTGCCCAAGCACCAACCAGTGGTGGGGTTTTTTGGTAAAGGCCATGCACATTACGAATATATATATATATATATATATATATATATATAAATAAGAAAAAAGAAATAAAGTAATAC